TCTCATCTCTAACCGCCTGGTAAGCCTAAACTTAGGGTGTACACCAACCTTTGTTACGCGAGCTAGGCACGAAGTATTAGACATAAACTTCGCTACTAATAACATATCCAGGCGGATAAATGACTAGCATGTTAGTAGTGAAAACTCGATGTCTGATCACAAACACAGGAAGTTTGTGATTGGAGCATCACCAATCAATGAAACCGTTACGTTTAGGGATCCAAAAGCCACTTCCTGGGATATCTATAGAGATAACCTAAGGAGGAATTTGGAAACTTTTCCTAAAAGCATCAAACCGATTGAAGGTCTGGAGTTAGCGACGGAGACAGTAACCGTAGTGTTTTCGTGAAGCCTTCGAGGACAGTTGTCCCGTCAAAACCAAGACCTCAACACGAAAAGTTCCTTGGTGGAATACTAAGCTAAAATAACTTAAGGAAAAGACCAGGAAACTATTTAATAGGGCTAAGAAAACCAATGAGTGGGATATTTATAGCGCAGGCCTAACTGATTATAATAAAGAAATTATGAAAGTCAAGAGAGAGAAAGCTATGCGAGGAAGTTGAGTCTTTGCCTCGCAGTGCAAGACTACACAAAATGCTATCGAAAGCGAAACCTAACCAGATCGGGCTTCTTAAAAAGCCTGATGGTAACTTCACTAATAGTGAAAGAGAAACATTGGAGTTACTAGCGTCAACCCATTTCCCAGGGTCACTCAAGACCTCAGCCTTAAATTCTTTCAGAGCCCTACGAAGGCCTTGTAATGAGGACTGGTGTAGGGCTGCAAAGATAATAAGGCCAAACCTGGTGCAATGGGCTGTTGACTCCTTTGAACCATTTAAATCAAGCGGGGAGGATGGAATAATACCCATCCAACTGCAGATGGGTATTGACATCCTTCTTCCCTATCTGGTGAAAATCTTCAGAGCAAGTTTTGCCCGGGGATATATTATATTTAAACCTAAGGCTGTTAGAAAGGACTACGCTTTACCAAAGTCCTTTGGACCTATAAGCCTATCCTCCTTTCTCCTTAAGACATTGGAAAAGGTTATAGATAGATATATAAGGGATGTAGCTCTAGCTACGAGGCCCATACATTACAACCAACATGCTTACCGCAGAGGAAAATCTACGGAAACAGCCCTGATCAGTGTTATAGACTGGGTCGAAAAAGGACTGGAGGACAAAGAAATAGCTCTTTGTGCCTTTCTAGATATTGAGGGTGCCTTCGACAGTAGCCCCACATCACTGCTGATTGGGGGACTGACATCTAAAAATGTTGACCCCACAACCATCAGATGGGTGAAGTCGATGCTCTCAAACAGAAAGACAAAAATAGCGCTGTTTCAAACTTCGATTGAGGTTGCAACTACAAGAGGCTGCCCACAAGGAGGTGTGTTGTCACCCCTTCTTTGGACTTCTTGCGGTTGACCAACTATTGTACAAAATGGCAGGCCTACGCATTGACACACTGGGTTATGCTGATGACCTTGTGATCATTGTGAGGGGCTTTTGCCAAAGTACTTTATCGTCAATAATACAAAGAGCCCTAAACACCATAAATAACTGGTGTAGGGATAACAGTTTATCAGTTAATGCTGATAAAACTGTTATAATACCCTTTACCAAAAAAAGACGGTTGGACAAGTTATTCCAACCAAAACTTAATGGTAAAGAAGTACCATTTTCCACGGAAGTTAAGTACTTGGGCCTAACAATCGACCAAAAACTAACGTGGCACTCTCACCTTAGCAATGTATGCAAGGCAAAAATTGCTTTAGGTACGTGCAGTCGTTTGATCGTGAACAACTGGGCCTTGCGTCCTAGTATGGTCCTATGGCTGTACAGCAGCATAGTGAGGCCGATTCTCACCTACGCCGCTATTGTCTGGTGTAACAAGGACAACCAAAAGACGACTGCGGACAGACTAAATAGTCTACAAAGGACTGCTCTTAATGGCAACTGGAGCTATGCGATCATCGCCTGGAGCGGCTCTTAATGCACTTCTATGACTAACGCCCCTTGATCTCTATCTAGACAAGGAGGCGAGGGCTAGTTTGTATAGGATTAACGCCCAGGGCGGTCTGAGCTTGCTCTCCTACAGATTGAGACCCATGCTCGACTCAATTAAGAAATCACCGATCTAATGCATGATCTCAGATATCATGCGTCCACTACACACTTTTGATAAAAATTATAAAGTGGAATTACCCTCCAGAGAAGACTGGCTGAATGACCAGGTTATCTGTGAGGTCGGTAGCCTCATATGATATACCGATGGGTCTAAAATGGGCCTCGACGTAGGCTTTGGAATTTACGGGGAACGCCCCAAATTCAAACTTAGCATGAATTTGGGTAGATACACCTCTATCTTCCAGGCGCAGAAATTTTCACGATACTTCGGTGTGCGGAAATCAATCTGCAAAAACACTACGTCAACGATATAATTTACATAAACTCTGATAGTCGAGCAGCACTGCTAGCGCTGAGGTCAAACTTAGTAAACTCGAAGCTAGTTGGAGACTGCATGAACCGTTTAAACGCCCTGGGATGTAACCACAGGGTAGTTTTAAGATGGGTTTCGGGTGACGAGAGTATTGTAGGCACGAATTTGCCGACAAACTTGCACGGGAGGGCTCAAAATGCACACAATTTGGACCTGAGCCATTTTGTGGAATCCCAAGAAGCCTAGCCCGATTGACCCTTGAAACTATCACAATAAATAACTTAAAATCTGGTCTGACACACCAGGCTTAAAACATTCTAAAACTTTAATCCGGGCTTTTGAGCATAAATTCGCTTCAGAAGCCCTGGGATTAAGTAAAAATAAATTGCGCATTCTGGCAAGAGCCCTAACTGGCCACTGTTGTCTTAAAAAGCACTAAGCAACTCAAAGATGTGTCGGTTCTGTTCTATATCGGAAGAAACGCCTCTACACATCGTAACTGATTGCGGACCCTTAATGCGCAAACGTAACACTCATCTGGGAAACTATGTACTTCGCCCAGAAGAAGTGAAATTGCTCACGGCTAAGCAACTCCTATTCATTGAAGACATAGGGCTTAGCCGTGAACTATAGCCATAGCAGCGATCACAATAGATCTCCTAGGTCGCAGTGATACTGGTCTCTTTCCCTAGACCTGCATAGCTGCTCGCAGTTAATTAAAAAAAATGATACGTTGGTGTTGTTTGTTTAGTTAACAACAAAACAAATTTTGTTACCAGTCAATAGGGATCATGTGGGTGTGTTATGAGGGGGCGCCATCCGTATGATAGTTGCATTGATGGTTACTGCTACATGCAGTATTGCGTCTGGTGATGGAGCTGCGGGTGATGATGTCTGCTGGGATTGTATGGGGGACCTTGGGATGGTGTAAGCCCGATGATAGTCGTATTGATGCTTGTAGCGTTCTACAGCATTGCGTCTCTGCGATGGTTGTTTGGCGGGTCCCTATTCTCAATGACGTTCTATGCATCTTGGTTTGACTCACACCGAAGTCGTAGGTCTCTGCATTACGGGGCTGCAGACTGTCTGACCTCCATGATGTTTTATAATACAACATAATAATATATTTCTGTCCCCTCCCTTTTTGAAATACCGCCTTTTTTGCAATTATTACTTTATCCCTCTTTTGTGCGTGAATGGGGTGGAGCATATGCGTCGACCTCATGCGGGTGGTAGCTGGAGGAAGGATCTGAGAAGACTCTCAAGGCTGTGGTCGAAACCCGCACAACGTAGGATCCCATTTCCTTGAGGTGAGCGGTAGACCCATGACACGCTCTGCGGCTAGTAGCCGTGCTGATTATGCAATCGGTGGTGATGCCATATTTATTATGGCCAGTGTGCCTATTTGCTTAAGTCGTGTGACGTACATTCACTGTGGCTGGATTTGATCGTATTCTGTATGGCGTTTACACGCATTGACATGCGCGACTTCGGTCGATGTTTGTGCTTGCGCACTACCAAGGGGCCAAGCCCTCTTTTACTGGTTCGCCAGTTATTTTGCTGTGGACTACGGTCCAGTTCCCAACTTAATGTCCCTTGGGGGGAGTGCGTTAGTTGGTCAGCGCTCACCGCACACGGCCTGTGTAAGCCGTATTCCTCCCACACATTTTTTTAAATAAATATGGGAGAGTGAGCTTTCGCTAGCGGAAAGGGATAATTAATAATAAATTAATAATGTAAACCTGATACAAGTGCAATAGGGACGTTTTAATATTCTTAACCTTTTTCGAGCCCTGTCTTCGTGAACGGGGTTCACTTAGCCTATAACTTATAAGGATGGCTTTTAATTGCTTTAGTGAATATTCATTCTTCCAAAAGACACCTAAAATAACTAAGTTACTAAATAAACACAACGTAAATAAGGGTCCTAAGATGATCACGCCATAAATATTACCAACGGCCTATTATTACATAACATAATATCATAAGCACTCACGCCTGTCACCCAGAGGGTAGGCAGACTACAGACTTCCATTTGGCTCGATTCTGACACACTCGCCTCCTTCACATCCATATACCTACGCATAAATGCTCATCGGTTAAAGGTACTCCTGATTTGGCCCATTTTCAATATATCGCCAATTTGGTCGATAAACTTTCGCCTAGTACGTCCCTTACCGACTCTGCCGTTCACTTCTGCAACATAAATTTGCTTTTTCACTCTTTCCTCATTCATTCTTTCCACATGACCAAACCACCGTAGCAATCCTTTCTTAATCCTGGTCACCACACCATCTTGCAAACCATACTCTTCTCTTATCACACATTTTCTAACCCTGTCACTAAGACCTATTATTAAACCTTTAGAAAGATCAAAACATTTTTAGTTATCCTTGTCACATAATAGATCGAATTTTATATAAAGCAGATATAATATAAATAAGAAGTGTGGGGGTGAGCGTTACATAATCATTATCTCCTTAGTAGGAAGCACTAAGATTTTGTAAAATATGAAGTTCAATAAAATAATAAAACATAATGTTATACGATCTCTTACCTCCATCAATAGTAGCCCTTTCTCCATATCATCTCCAACAGTCCCAGGACCTTCCTGGTCGAACTTTTCTATGAACTCATCCAGCTCCCTTAGGAACGTAGAAATTTGTACGACGTTCAACTTTGAAAATTTTTCCTTTGTTTGCTCTAGAGTTTTTGCGCGGAATAAAGACGACTGGTACAGGCTTCCCCACGATGACTCTAGGTTTTTGGCGAAATTGAGGTCTTCGTCTGATACCTAGTACGTTCGTCATAATAATTAGAATCCTTAGTTGCTTTAGTATTAATGTGATACGTATTTTAATAGGTGTTGGTAATTAGATTGGTATTGTTCCACTAAGATGGAGTGATGCCTTGGTAAGAGGTCCAGGAAGTCGATGGATTCAGGTGGTTCACGGTTATTACAACAGGGAAATTAAACCCTTTTTTTCGTTTCTCTAAATTTGTCCACGAGTGTGGTTTGTCTGCAAAATGAGTAGATAGTTATAATTTGCAATATATGACCGTCAGCGGGGCGCCGATGAGGTGCTAGCCTAGGCTGTTGTTGACATTTAATTCGCCTTTGCTTCAAGTATTTTGCACGAAGTATATTTTACAGCAGAAGAAATATAACAATTTCTAAACGCCGTACTGTGTGACTTGATATTACACCACTCTCGCAATTCGCAACGATGATTGTTGTTGTGGTTAAGGTGCACTTTTGTTTGTATCACGTGTAAATGAAAACCACAGTGTCTTACTCTTCGATTATTTAATTGACTACAAAATTACAAGTTTGCGTATATGCGGTGGACGGACGAAAATAACGCCCATCAAAGAAAATTTAGTTCTTTCTAAAATACAATAATTCAAATTAACTAAGTGATTCAAGCTTAACAATATTATAACAATCTACATAATTAAAACTTAATAACAAACAGAATAAAAAATTGACAAACTGTTGTGCTAGAACAAAAATGGTTTTAAATTTAGTTTAACATTAAGATTTAGTGTCTATTGACAAACCACATAATTTTGTAACACAACGCTTCACAATGTTACCACCACTCTTAACACTATCCACTCAGGTGTGACCACTATACGTCACAAACACCATTTTCCAGGTGGTAGATCTTTACTCTTAACTAAAACTATATTTCCCAGTTAGAACTCGCGCCACCGTCCCTGCCACTTCGGGCGTTGTTGCAGTCTTGTCAGTTATCATGTATTCCGTCTGCCAACGTCTCCAGAAATCTCCCCGAAGTTTTTATAGGTGTTGCCATCGTGTTAAGTTTGAATTTGGAATGTCTTTCAGCTCGACTGAAGGGACTATAATTGAGGCTTGATCAATTAAAAAATGTCCAGTTATAGTCAACCAAATCTAATAAATACATTTTGACAGCTGTCAGACTTATTGCACCAAGCATGCCAACCAAAAAATTGGAACGTACAATATTCGATTCTTAAAAAAATCGATTTCGATTATTTAGAGTTAGTAATGATTTAGTTTGGTTTGAATAATACCAGAATAAATTCAAAACGGATAATTTAAACCACAAGATTTATCAGTGTCTTCATATTTGTTGTTACTGCTTATTTCTAGAGGCACAGTTATAAAAATTTAAGATTGAAACTAGATTAAAAATAAATTTATTCAATCACTTTCAGTAAAACTAGTAGATATGTCGTTGCTTATATTAATTATTATTTGATTTTCAATAATGCAGACAAAATTAATGTCTCTTTCAAAGTCATCCATAATCATTTTTTTCAACCACTTTTGCCCAATCATCCTTTGTGACATGGGCACATGCTTCAACGAATTTTTTTTAAAGCATTGAGTGACAAACGAGCACACAGTTCACCTGATGGTAAGTGGATCCTATGGCCCATAGACATACATATTTATTCTCAATTAAGAATCAAAATGCAAATGTGTTGTCACCCCAGAGGATTAAGATGGTATGCCTCGATTCCAGTAAAAAGGGTCTCTGGTTCTCTACACTTACCATATAAAATACAGCAGCATTATGCTATTATTTTACGCCGGTATTCTATTCTGTAAGAGCGTGGTCCTGCCCTGTTTGAGCCGACCAATTCGTGCTACAACTATAATATAGATGTAGCGTGGCTCTACCACGTACAAAAAGTTATTATAGAAGAAACAGTTCAAAAAGTTAAAGCCAAGTCACAAAATAAGACAAACAAAAAATCACAAAATTACGCACAGTAAGCTGTCGAATCAGAAACAGAAACTTTTTTATTCAATATACTTTATGAATAATACTTATTGAGTCACTTTTTTTTTTCAGTTACCACTGGTTCGCAAAGAAAAAACCTCTGTCCCGGGAAGAACCAGCGAAAAATCCAACGGGACTAGTTAAAAAAAAAAGAGCTTACAATCATGCGTGTTACAATTAACAACTCAAAACAAATTAGAAAAAGCTTGGTGGCGATCACCCTTCCCAGGATTTATTATCATCCATAAATTCCTTAATATTAAAATAACCCTTTTTATACAAACTTAGTTTAATAAAGTTTTTTGTGTACTTACGTCAAATTTTGTATATTTTATCCGATTTTGTTGTAAAAACGTATACATCGCTCCAAGAATGAATTACTGACTCTGTGGAGTCGAGTAACTGGTACAGAAATGGCGGGATATTGAAATTATGTAGTATATATTTTAAATGTTATGAGTTTTTTTTTAAATTTAAGAAAAAAAATAAACTTTTTTTATTCATGATTCATGTTATTTAAGGAATTTTGAAAATAAAAATTAAATTAAACAAATAATACATTAAAAAAATTAATGATTCGATTATTTGAATATTTTGCCGATCATTCGCATAACAACCAATTTTAATCATCAAAACACTACGGTAATATACATAGCGACATATCATTGAAACTACGTCAAGTAAAAAAGTTAATACTAGTTATTTTTTAATATTTTGCTTTGTTTGAAAAATTCTAATTTAAATTAGTGATAAAAAACTATACACGTTGTAATGAAATATAGACAAACTCATAATTCTTCGGATTTACGTAAAAGGTTATTTTAAATAGTGTGAGTACGCTTGTGTAAAGTTATTGCGGAATGATTAATGTGAAACGTCAAAAGGTATTTCTTAGATTTGGTTGACTATAATGACTATAACTTCAAGATCATCCGTATCTATTGGAACCAACGTAAAAGAGCATCCGTATGGGAGTGAGTAAAGGTGGTAATAAAAGTGGTTAGTTGTGTGATGACCCCCCACCCTGAGAATATCTTTTTTTTTTTTTTTTTTTTTTTTTTTTTTTTTTTTTTTTTTGTTTTTTCTTTTTTTTGTTTGTTTTTTTTTTTTTTTATCTGCTTTCTGTAGTTTCTAAAGTTTCTGTTTCCTTAATTTTTGTTTTTTATTCTTCTCCTCCTCCTTTTATGTTGATATTTACTTGTGTTTTAGTTTTTTTTTTCCTTTATAAATCAGTTTCTTTCGTTTGGTTGTTAGAAAATCGGACTTTCTTCATCAGAGCTTACATAACTTCAGTTGGACAGTAACGTACCTCTCGAGTCCGCTGGGCAGCTCTGAATCTACAACATGCCATCTATTGCAGTATATACTCCTATTATTTAAACCACGCGATTCGATTCGAGCCGCTCTGCGCTGGATGCGGTCAAGTAGAAGGAGCTGGCACTAGGGAGCCCTAGCCCAGAGGTAGTAACAGTATTCCATGTGGGGCCGAACCTGCGCCCTGTAAAGTTGCAAGTGGTGTGCCGGCATGAAATACTGTCCCACTGTGCAGAGCACGCCAAGCTTTTTGGTGGCCAATTTGGCCTTCCCTTCCAAGTGATGACGAAACTGCACGTCACTCGATATGTCGACGCCGAGCATTCCAATACTGGCTGAGGCAACAAGGGGAGTGCCTTGAAACTGAGGAGATACGACAAAGGGGTTATTTTTAGCTGTAAACGCGCAAACTTGTGTCTTCTGAAGATTAAACTGATTATAATCAAAAGTTTAAAGAAATAAAACATAAGAAGATTGTTGCGCACTGCGATCGAAGGTTTTATTAAAAATGTTGATATTACTACAGTTTAGACCTTACAGTTGGGAAACGAATGTAGTTGTGCCGAGAAACGTTGGGGGGTCTTGCAGGCAGGGGGCAGGCCGACCTTATACTAGCGCACTTCACTGAGTCTAATAGACAATACATGCGGTTGGCCGGAGCGTGTTTTACAAAATTTATTGAACTAATTTTAAGTATTGTTTTCGAAAATATAATATCTAGAACTGCGAATTACTGTTAAAGTTATATGAGTTACTAAGTGAAATTGAATTCAAATTACAGCCATGTTTTTGTTTCTCCTCATTTTTTGTTGATAAAATTGTTTATCCGATTGCGAATACATTAGTACATAATTAAATTCAACAGTCAAAACCGCATGTAATATCTATACAAAGAAAGTGTCACGAAAATATTTGGCAATGCAACACCTGTAAATGTGTTTTTCTTGTAGTAAAAAAAATTATCTTCTTCAATAAATGTTTTAACTTTTAAGTATGTACATAATAAATGAAAATGAATATCACAATATCCACAATTTTTTATTTCCATTATCGTGACAACCCCTAGCATACACCCTCGCCGCGTAAATATATCATCTTTAATGTCAACTATGATAGTAGGTCTACTATAATACTAACTTCAATGCCATGTTGTCTCAGCATGTGGAAGATTTCTTGCATACCCCGGTATTTCACTTCAGCAGTTATGGTCATTGCTTGCACTTGTGTAATGGTGGCCATTACTAATTTGAAGTCTTCCAGTCCCTTTATGTTCATGTTCATTGTCATACGAAGAGACTGTAAACAACTGACGCTAAAGTCAAATTTTTCATTTTGTTGTGGTATATTTTAATAATTCTGTAATCAGAACTTTATAAATTCGACTTGAATCTCCAAGCCGAGTCACTAAATTTTCTTAAGTATTTATATAATTTTATAGAGCCGTGGTAGCTCAGATGGTTAGCGCTCGCTGTAAATTTCACAGTACGCGAGCAAACCGGGTTCGATCCCCGCCGGCACCGATGAAATTGGTAATTGCAATTTTAAGTGCTGATTTACCACGTGCTCGGCGGTGAAGAAAACATCGTGAGGAAACCTGTATGTCTGAGATTAATTAAAGAAAAAAATTTTCAAACATGTGAAGTTCGCCAACACGCATTGGGGCAGTGTGGCGGACACTTCCTTGCCCTAATACCCTCTCATAGAGAGGAGGCCTGTGCCCAGCAGTGGGACGTATATAGGCTGTAAGTTTACTTTATAGAATTTAAGAATTTAACAAGAAATATTTTATTACAGGTCAATATTACGATTTTAGGTTCACCACACCAGGTACTACGACGGTCATTCGATGGAGTGGCGACCGGGTAAGACGGAAGTTCATGGATGCAGTAGGCTCAGAAACGTGCAGGTTTATTCTTCGGTGTAGGCCTATGTTTATGATAATCTGTAATGGTAATGATGATGACGATGGTGATGATGACGATTTGGATAATATTAAAACAATATTTAAAATAATAACACGTAAGAGAAAAATTAATAACTTATATTGAATTAGAATCGAATTTAATATTTCAGTACTCGCGTCCTATAACATTCTAACATATTTCAGTTTTCAGGGTTTTTTTATAGAAGAGGGGGAAAACGAATGACGGCTCACCTGATGGTAAGTGATGAACCGCACCAGGGGAATTGCGGATGTGTTGCCAGCCTTTTAGAAAGGAGTAAGCTCTTTTCTTGAAGGTTCCTAAGTCGTATTAGGAGAAGGACCCCCTTACCCTACGACTAAAAAGCATGAAGCTTGTTCATATTGAATATGCAAAAACGCATCTGAAGTACTTTTTACCGTTTTTGAAGCGGGTCATTCTTCATTTAATATAATTAAAAAATCATACCTCAATCTGATTCTTAAGATCGTACATATTCATCCTAGTTTTCGACGCTAAACAATGCCCCAGTATGTTCTTCCACTCTTGCGCATGGTCCTGTATCTGGCGTATGATTGGGCGCAAGTTGACGCGTATCGCTCCTATGTCCACGAACTTAACGTGCCCCGTCAGGTCCGATATTATGTCCTCGAAGAAAAAGAATTTCTCGTCGTACTTGTGTATCTGGTCGTGTATTTGTGTGTACTTTTCGCAGGAGAGCTGCTTGTCGAAAGCCCATAGGTGTTGGTATTTTTGCCACCTACAAAGTTAGTAGGTTATTTAATTACTTGATATTGGTCTTCCCAGAGAACGCTACAAAACATTGTTTTTAAATATGGATTTCTATTGTTTTTTCTTTTTTTATTTAAAAAGATAAGAAATACTGGCAATACAAAATTAAAAACTCCTAGTATTTCTTTTAATTATTACAAGTAAAACTACTTTTACGGATTTTAACACGTCTAATTTGCCTAATTTTAATACCCGATGTTTCGTCGAGTATTAAAATTATATAAAGGTCTCCGGGAAGTTTGCAGCTTGCGATCATATTTTAGACGGCCCCCGCCATTACATCAGGTCTGATAGACCAAAAATTCTTGCGGAAGATCATCGATTCCTGCCAAGGATGATACGTGAGGCTATTGAAATTAAAAAAAAACCTCCCCCATGTGACCGTGGGTGCTGGAAAGCACCCGGAACGTCGGATATTAAAATTAGGCAAATTAAACGTGATAAAATCCGTGTAAGTAGTTTTATTCAATTTGTAGTGTTCGCGTAAATATAAGAAATGATTATATTAGAAGTAAGCTTAAAAAACTTGTATTAATGCCCTAAAATCGACAGGCGAGTCATTAATTGTAGACGGCTCGCCCTTCGATTAAAGCTACACGTCCACTGGCCCGCGCCGTTCACATGGCGCTGCGTCCACTATTCGCGCCGCCCACACAGAACGCCGGCATTTATGAGCAAAAAATGCTTTGCGTGCCGTTGACGACATACAAATCAGTTTACCGCTGGCATCGCTTATTGTCGCACATGTTGCATTGTTTTGCTTAACCCTTAGCAGGGATGGCCATTTTTTTTCTTTTGAGTGTTGAGTTTGGTAGAATATAAGATATAAAAATAACAATACTACCTATGTTTTTATTCTGTTTGCCTATTCCTGGAAAAAACCCTGTGGTCTCTATATGACCACTACCCACTGCACAAAAATAATGTGGTCAGTATGTTACCAGTTTCCGGAAAGTCATCTGCACAGCTATTAAGGGTTATAATACATCATAGTAAATTATTCACTGATATAATAAAACAACGCTTGAACCTAGAAAAATGTTTATTTTTATATTATTGGGGATAATTATCGATACAAGGTGCTCTAAAGAGCAGAACTTGAGTTATTTCGCACATTATTTTGACACATTTTACACATGATCTCTGTGGGTTTTGTATTGTACTGCAGTATCTGCATCGTTTCCCGGTGCCTGTCACATGGTGCCTTTTGAAAATGGGCAGAGGTCATGTAAGGACCACAAATTTTGACGGCATTTACCTCCGAAAATATTAATACTAAGATAAATTAAACAATAATATAAATAAGTACACTTATATAATATCATAAAAATATATAAATAATAATATTATATAATTTCATTCATGAACCCACATTCTTCTACGTTTAGTTTTACGTTCTTCTTTATCTTCCAACAAGCAGCTAATAATAATAATAATAATAATATACGTTAATATCTTCATCAATCTCCTGCCGAATGCAGATTGATGAAGATATTAACGCCAACTCACGACAAGAAAACTCTTGAAATTAAATTAAATATCCGGATACAGTGAACGCATGCCATCGGCAAATCCGTTCAATCCGTTGCGTGCCGTGCGTGCGGTGCGTCCAGCGCGGACCAACGGACGTGTACCTTAAGGGTTTAGGAGTGGCTTACGAACACCAAAAAAGGTTATTAAAAAAAGTTCGCACTTCTGTATGTATGTATTAATATCTTGCGTTAGTCTATACATCGTATCCTGTATTAACAGAGTGATATCGTTTATGGAAGCCACACGGAGGATGTCCTCAAAAAAGGAGAACACATAGAATTCGTTGCCGGTGGCCTCCGCAATGCGTTGTGGCGGACACGGGACGCACGTGTTTTTCATCCAACGCGGAAACGCGGTTAGTCTGAAATGACAATTTATTAGGATATGAATACATTGTTCAACTTTGAATAGTTTTGGAGTTTCGGCGGGAACTTGACCGCCGGCGGTATTACTGTTTAAATAATGGTTTGAAGTAGACATATTTATCAATCGTGAGTGATTCGCTCACTTGAATAACCCGGGTCGCATCAAAATATTGATGATTGCAATTACATTTTTGAACGTTCCGGATCAAACGAATGACACGACCTATGACCAGAGTATAACTATCTCCGATTACTGACATTATCGAGCGGGTCTCACAAATCACAGAGTACTGAAACTCGAAATAATCCATTTGAATGATCAACCCGAATGAACGATTCATAAGACAAATCAATACTTGACTGATCGGGTAACTAGAAATGAATGAATAACTAGTTTGAAGTGAGATTTTGTGTCTGCTTAAGACACACATCTTTTCACACTATTCATATAACTATATTTCACATGCGCAGAAACTAAATACACAAAATCACACCACATCATATCACATCATCGATCGCCAGTAAATGACTCAAGCTGCCATCAAAATGTCCCAAAAACTTGCCGTAACGCATCATCATACTGTGAAGAAGTTTCGAAATAAATTAACATTATAAAGAATATTTTTTTATTACTTGACACTGGCAAAAATACAACACGACAAGTACGAGTCCATTACCAAAGAAAAAACGTCGTATAGTTATAAATAAGCTATTAAACTGTATTTATTCATTCATTCTTTGCAGCCTATTAAAAGTCTACTGTCCTACATAGAGGGATATCATAGTTACCACGTTAACAAATGTTATAGTTGTCATGTTTAGTAGGCAATTTGGCATGCACATTTTTATTTTGGTTATTTTATCCTGGTTTAGTATTTCTCTGTCGCCTCTTACGACACCCACGGTATGACATAAGGTCATGCGATCTTCAACGCGGATTCAGAACGCCGCCACTCGCGGCAAACTGTATCTCTAAATTACTACGTAAAATAATTTTCAATTTCTTTGTGACGGATGTTGCTAATTATATTATCAAAAAAAGTACAAAAAGAACTTTCTGATTTGATTATTGAAATGCTTCATTTCAAACATGTTTTTATTTTTGTGCGTTTTATTTTTGGTTTATACGCTCAAATAACAAACTCAAACGTATTTATCAATAAGCATGATAATTTACGTACGGAAATTAAAAGTTATCAATATTTTTCTAATTTAATCTAATACGTTTATAGTAAACGTTGTATCATAACATCGTAATTAAAAAAAATATTTGTCAACCTGTTTAGGAAATGCTTAATGTCGTATCCCATAATGTTAGACACTTCAGAAGCCGTGGGACGCATTGCAATATCCGGTGGTACAAGAACCGCATCCACTTGAAAAATAGCATTATTTTCACTTAACGTTTGTTGGAACTGTTCCATGTTTTCGAGAGTCAATCTGTAATTAAAATTAAAAAATATTGATGACGTCAAATATAATAACTGGAAAAAATACTGTTAAGTTCTTAGAAATTTTAAGCTATTTTGAGTATAAAGTAGAGCTTCTCAATTCATCTGTATGCCCCTTTTATGTGCGTATTTTATGCGATATCTGCGTAATTGTATACGGATTTTGATGATTCTTTTTTGCATTTAGAGTAAAAAATCAAATGGAAAGAATAAAATTTTAAATATAACTATGCCATCAAAAACATAACTTGTAAAAAAAAACCAAGTCTCAACGTTCTTCTACTGTAAATAGTAGTGATATCCATGTAATTTTAAGTCGGTTAATTTATTCAGTCTCTACTTAAGGGTCCTTCTGTCTTAAGTTATTACGTAATTAGCTAACCTAACAACATCTTATTGTGACCTTATCAATATTAAAAATCTTTCATATTTTAAATAAATAGATTGACTTCGGCTATCACATGAAAACACAATGTATCTCACAAGTGAATAGAAAACTGGACCGAAATGGAAAAATATTTTAGTTTTTCCTTGATTTAGACTTCGAATACTAATATTATCCTAAATTTAAAGCTTCTGTATCTGCTAGAAGTGCCTTAGATTTTTATTGATCGGTAAGTCGGCCAGTGAGTGAGTGACAAAATTATGAAATTTTGACTAGTTACAATTCTTAAACTACTTAAATATACTGAAATATACCGTGTTTATACAATGCCTGCTTGGTTACTGAAAATTCAGGCTTCTAGTTTCATCCTAACGAAGTTATAGAGGGTCGAAATGGCCTGAACTGCTTCGAGAAAAGGATGGTACGGCCGTGCCACTTTTTTCCTCGACTTGGCGGGGGCACTACCGTGCGCCCAGATTTAGAAGACATTAATTGTGCTATTCCTTAGTCCAATATACATAAATAAGGATTTAATTCTTGACTTCAGAAAGTGGATTTATTGTATACTTTTTAGTTCTTTGAATGCGGCTTTTATTAAAAGTTAATTTTTTATTTGTGCCGCGTCAAAATATAAGAGGAGCAAAATGCGTTTAATTAATAATCTATAACCACGTTTTTACTTACTTGATAAGTGACTTGAATATATTCTTCTCCCAGAAAGTGTAGTAAGCGGCCATGACATTCGACTTGCCAGTACTAATGCCAAGAATGAGATACTCTAGTTTCATCAAGATCGGTCCGATGCGGTCATACAAGCGAGATAATATCGAAATACGAGACATGCGTTCGTTCTCTACTTCGACAAAGTATGCCTGTACAATGAAAGCGTTACGTTTAACATTATCGTAATTACGTAAATTCTACTAATAGATGCCAACCAAAATTCTGCGACGACGCCATCACACGTTACACACACATCAGAGAAAATTAGTGAAACTTCTTTATCGACGTAGTGGAGAATTTAGTACGGTATTAAGTAAACGTCAATTTTTTTGTAACGTTTCACCGCCGGGACTGCATGGAATATACAATTATTAAATCTACTTAGATATGTAAAATGTAAAATAAAACAAGAATGATATATGTCGTAAAGAAGTTTCACTTCGTACGCCTGTAAACAATTACACACACGGAGCGATAAAAAATTACATTTATTATGCAAAATAAGGAACAGGAAGTTACGCACCCATAAAGCATGAAGTGTTTTTCGATAATAAATTTTATGTAAATTCTTGGTAGGCGAGAAAAGGTATTTCTTAATATGATGATTATTTGGGTTTTATTTGAATTTTCTTTGATTTAAATTGGAGCTACCATAGCCCTTTTGATTATTAATTATGCTTTCTCATTACTAAGAATTTTATGCGATATTGCTTTACAAAGTTTAAACATAATGATTGAATTACATTAACAGAATCGAATAAAAAGACAATTTTTCGTTAGAACTAAAAATTGAATCAAATCAACAGATTTAAAAAATAGCTTTGTTCGTTGAGATTTACATTTCATATTCGATAAAAAACATTGTAACAAAATTCAAAAGATTTTTAATTGTGAAAGAGTTTCATAGATTTACTTTTTTCACTAATACATTTTTACAAGATACAAGATTGCTCTGAGATGGTGGCATATGATGGTGGAATAGGTGCGTGAGTGGTGAAATAAATAAGGCTAATCTTTCCTATAATGTGAGAGGCGCACATACACCAGTGTACTTTAAGGGCTGATGATGAAGAAGAAGTATACAAATCTTACCTTACAGGGGTACAGCCAAGTATCATCTGGTTGACCAGTCTCTGGGCATACGTAATCCAGTGGCTTTATAACAGGAAACAGGTCAAAAAGCTCTATTTGGTCGATTAACACTTGGATCTCCTTTTCAACCATCTTCAACTGTTGATACACTGCTTGCAAAGAATTTTGACCTGCAAAGTAAACAATGATGATCTTAATTATTGTTTTTTTGTTTGCTAGTATAATGGTAAAGACGTAACCACTAAATGTTATGACGATCTGGTAAGAGATAGTGGAGGTAATGAGTGCAGGTAGCTCAGGATCGTGGCTTGTGGAATTCATCATAATAATGGGAGTTATGAATGTTGAATGATGAGTGATGAAGTATAGTAGTAAATATGAATGTACATGTAGAGGGGTCATTTACATTTTCTATTTGCGATAAATACATTTGGTTTAAAAGATTAAAGCATGTCAGAAACAGAATACGATAATTAAAGGAAGTAATTACTGGAAGATACTTAGATCGATATTTGCCAAATTCGTGCTACTTTTTCTACGATCTTAACTCATTTGTTAACATCGTAGAAAAACTTATCAAGGTCGGACCGAGATCATTTTTGGTCTATCTTGTTCTTGGCCAATATTCAATAAATTTCTATCTTTTTTTACCAAAAAAGGGGTTATCAAATCATCTGGTTAGTTACTGAGACTGTAACGCACTTAAAAAATTATCGTGCACTTTTTGAAAAGTTTAAGACGCACCAACATTATTGATGGAAAAATTGAGCGTGTCTCGATCTTAGCCGAGATTCGTTTTGAGTCTCAATCAAAAAAATCTCAGTCGGACCTTTTGACATTATGTGTAGATACCATAATATGGTTTCAAATTCAAAGCTGTACCTTTCGTTATGTCACTGATATAGTCTTTGATTCCCAACGCAGTCCAGGTTATTCTTGTCAGGCCGGGGAGTATGTGCCGCTCCATTTCTAGCAAGTGCTCCTTCATGAGATGCGTTTCAGACGTATTGAGGGACTTACTGCTAGTGTTGTATCGACTTATGACGTCATCGAGTGCTTCTAGTTCATAATAGAGACGGGATTTTTGCATCGCGACGTCCCGAATGTTTGAGGGAAGGTTAAAGCCTATAAGAGCATAGTAATTTATTTTCATTTTATCGCATCGCAAGTTCATCAGTTTGCTTAAAAATCGTGTTTTATATTTTTTGAACAAACCTAATTGCTCCAGGAGTTCGGATTCTCGCAAAATCAAAAAAATCTTGCGATCGAAATTGGGATGAAATTCCAGATCGTACTCTTGAATTAGCTTGTGCACAGTTAAATCACGCCACGTTACATCCGTCTAAGAAACAAAACAAAATATTGGTTTAAACACTTTGTAAATTCGTTAATAAATTTTTATCAATATCTCGTTTAGACTTTTTTATATGTGGGATGCTTAAATTTAGTACTAATTAAAACTTTATTAAGACTTTTTCATCAGATGAATATCGAAGATTAGGGTTAATTTACAAAAAAAAAAAACAAAAACAAAAAAAGAGTTTGTGACATTTGTAGCATTTCTCTATTCAAATTTTAGTGATAAAAAAGAATGGGAAAGTTTTTATGACGCCGTTTTATTAATTTTATATTCACAGCGAATCAAGGCCGGAGGTTTTTTTTCCGAACAAGTAATAAACGTAAAAAATTACTTTCAATAAGAATTACTTGTATTCTTTAAATAATAAAAAAAATGCATTCTATTCAATTTGCTTCTTAAAATTTATGAATCTATTTTAATTTCTTAATTATAATTAAATAAAATTCAAAAATACCAATCCTTCCTTAGCGAGAATTGACATGGAGCTCGGAGACCTCACGTTCTCGTAATGCTGGCCCGGTATGCGCATCAGCATCACTGAAATTATTATTGCACATATTCTTACAGATTCAAATATTTTAAAATAATTACAATCTATAGATATAAAATAATAAACTAACGGCCAAGTGCGAGTCGAACTCGCACATGAAGGGTTCCGTAGCATCGTAATCCTTTAATTTTTAATTTATTTTAATTTTTATTATTTGTTGCTATAGAGGAAACAGAAATACACATTCTGTGAAAATTTTAACTGCCTAATTATTATGGATCATGTGATACAGCCCGCTGACAGACAGACGGACGGACAGCGGAGGCTTAGGAATAGGGTCCCGTTGGTTACCCTTCGGGTACGGAGCCCTAAATATCCAAAAATCTTTTAATACAAATATTTTGGTTTTAGGAGAATTCGAAACTTCAAATGACAATTTTAACTGTAAGCCAACCAAAGAGATTTATATATATATATATATATATATATATATATATATATATATATATATATATATATATATATATATATATATATACCATAGAGCGGACATTAGGAACGTTTGCATACAAAAACTGTGAGCTCGTGCGTGTGTGATACTCTCTAGCGAAATGTAGCAACACTACGCTGATTATTTATACGGAAAACATTTCAGCTAATCCCCATTAGGTGACGCTAATAAATATAAGGTAAATATATAGATTATAAATAATCGGTTTTAGTATCCCCGTTTCGACAACAAAGCATCGATAACGTTGTTGAATGTTACTTAGTTTAAATTGCATTACGATATAATAGTAGGGAATATGCATGATTGTTTTATTGTATAAATCTAATTATTATGGCTTCTTACACACATAAACATCATATTAACTTTTTACGCCACTTTAGTGTCATGAAATAAAATACTTAATTTCAAATAACTAAGAATCAATTGAAACAGCAGTCACATTGGTGGCATCTTGGATGACGTCGCGCGGTTCATTAGATGCTATAATAATAGCATATCATAGCACATCGAGATACGCCAAATACAATAAGAGAGCGCGAGCGATGTTTTTGAATTCGTTTCTTTTACAAAAATACATTTTCTAGCATACTTGTAAGCACCTGGAGAGTAATAATGGAGAGTTAGAGCAAATTTACGAAAAGAAGGATTAAATTTACGACGAGATAATCCTGCCTTCGTCGATTGCTTATTGAGTCTATCATAAATGGCTTGCGTTTCTACTGTAGCATTTAAGGAATTAACCATATTTTTTAAATATCAAACTTCTTTTACCTAAATGTATAACTAAATCTTTTAAGTTTATTATTTTCCGTTTGAAATATATATTTTGTGGCCTAGTTTTTTTTAATTTTAGCCTTATGGCGTATTTTTTGTTTTTTGTAAATTGCGAACTTGCAACTTCAATCCAATTTTCCTCGGACTATCGAATATTGACTCAGAGTTTGATACAACAACACTGATTGGTGTAAACTCTGGTAGCCTCTGCATTTGTTTCATTATTCTGAAATTATATAGGCAAATGTTCAGCTTTGCTTGGCTGTACCGCTATAAATAACATACACCTTACTTCACTAGCAAAACAAGGAAATGATCCTTTTTTTTTTAATTGTTCGATCAGTCTTTCCGTAGTAAATATCTTCGCTTTTCAAGTGCTTTGAGCATAATTTTGATATAGCAGATGGAAGCCAATTTTCTTCTCTACGCTCTATTCGGACAAACCGTATCCACTTATCACGCACTGCGGTATTAACTGACGGAAATCTAAAATTACCAGATTCGTGCTTATACCAAAACCATAATTATATTGCTGGTTCATAGAACTCTATAAGCAAAAGGTTTTAATAACATGATATGTTTGTAAGCAGTTTGCAAATTTTACGTTATTATGTCAATTTTATCAGATGCAATACTTATAGACCCACATCAATAAAAAACCGTTTCTTTAGGTTTTTGCCTTATTTCTTAACTCACGATTAACCTACAACTTCTTGCATCTTATATCTTTAACAGTGTAAATTGTTTTAATGTAACAAACCTATAGCCCTACCCTATCAGTGTAAGCCAGGATCTATAAGGCTTCGTCTTTGAAAACCACTAGACAATGAAGCCTGATTAATTTGAAAGTTACAGACGACAATTTTGTTACTGATGTCCGGACTATTACTATTACTACTTAAATGTCTTTTTTTTAATTTTAGTGATTCCTATACGCTGAAGGGAAACAATTGTTTGAAAGTAACACAGTGATTGATTTTATAGAGGTTGACAATTGTATAGGTAACGTAAGTAGCCGTACAGGTAGGTAATACACAATAGTTTTTTGTGTCCTATGATGTAAAGCTTCAGCAGTCGATCTAATTGATTGATGGAAACTCATTTTCAACTCAGGTGACCGTATTAACGCATAAAAAAACTTGTTGCGGCACAACCGTTATACTTGGCTAGGATTTGAACAAAAGACACGACAGTTAGACAATATTGTGGTAACTCAGGACTAAGCTCTAAGTTTCATAGTACGCGAGTATCCCACTTGCAATTCCCGGCGGGACCAAGAAAATAGTTTGTAATTTTAACTGCTAATTTATCGTGTTAACGGCAGTGAAGAAAAACATCGTGAATGGCCTGGCCTACACATCTAGAAAAATAATATTTTACGAGCACATACGTACTGGAACAGCACGGCTGAAAAATTGCTCTATAACGTTTCAGGAATTTGGGTAGGAATGCGCCCAACTTTTGAACACATCAAAAAAAATTGTGATCACTAACAAAAGCTAATATATTTTTAAAATTCAACTTCATTAATTGACAGAATCAGGCTTTACTTTGCGGAAATTCATTATAATAAAGATATTAAAATTTAATACGCAAACATCCGCTTAATTAAAAAAATGATGTGTCTTACCTGGATTGAAGAGCACCTCCCGCCCTCCCTCAATTGCGTGCACTAATTCCGTCATCACTAGTCCCAACACCACTTCTCCTGGCACCACTACTTTAAACACCACTACCTAACTAACTAACCGGAGCCTAGGCCACTGCAATCTCCGTCGCTGATGTTGCCGTGAATTAAGAGGTGTTCGCCAAGACCTCCATGCTCGTAGGCCAGCTTGGTGTAAGCAGTTCCGAAAGGTCTGAATGCTAACTAATGCTTTTATCGTAGTCACGGGCTGTCAGCAATCTGATATAGCGCTTCTGAGCAACAGTCAGAACAGTTGTGCGAACACTGTGGGATCGGACAGCTAAATTATCAATGCAGTGGTACCTCTGCTACGTGACCACGACACCTCGTGCGTGCGTTTTCTCTCATGGAATATCTTTCTTCCCTCCAAGCTACAATTCTTTCTCGTAAAGAATTTTCTTGGCATTTTTTCAATCACAACCTTCATTGAAAAAATATTTTATATCCGTTAAAATTTACTAAGTCAGATTTGTGAATGAGCGTTTGTATTGAATTTTCTTTTTATATGGCAAAACAATTAAATTTGTTTTATATTCTAATTCTATATTTTTAAGTAAGTAATCTAAAAAAAACGAAGAAATTATAATATAGTCTACCATAACAAAAAAGATATCGATTTTTCAAACTGGTCGCAAATTTTAGATGTGTGTAGGCTAGATGACAGATAGAGATGCGATGGCACACCATAGTGCTAGAGTGGCTATATACGAAATTGTAGTTATACTTACGTGCTTTGTCTCTACGCCTTTTGTCAGCTATCTGTTTGTTGACGACGTCGGTAGGACTTAAGGAAGTGTTAGAGTCCTTTTTCTTGGATAGCTGGCCGCGACCGGTCATTTTCGGCTGCGATTCTGTAAAAGGAAACGGACATGGAAGGATACATGCTGTACTTTTTATGCCGCGACCGATTTAATTGTGTTTTGTATCATGTAACATTGGTTCCAAGGTATTTGAGCGCACACACACTTGGCTCATTGATCTTGTCAAATAAAAACGGATTCGATGCGGATCTATGTTAGATGTGTCCGTTATTTTGCCTAAACGGTTTTTTTCTTAAAAGGTATCGTTAGATTCCTTTCCATTAATACATTTATGCCTATAATACAAATACTACGCTTGTATAACTTTATTTGTTTATGCTTGAAGCGCATTCTTACGAATCTGTCGTTTTATATATATGATAATCATAGAATTATTATACTACTACGTATGGACCGGGTCATTCAACAAACAAAATAGCATCGACTCACTGGTGCTAAAATGTTTATGGAGCACCAACGCGACCACGAATGCGGGCCGTGCTTCTGTGCAGTGTTTCTACTTTTAGATAGTTTGCACTATTTTAGGGTAAATCTACTAATATGGGTAGGGCTTTAGGCGTTTCCTTAAGTTGACAGGGTTTAAGATAATTTAGGGTAAAATAGAACTTCATGTAACCCTGATTTTTATTCCCATCCAATGTATTTTTTTAAAGATAAAAAGATATAAATCTTTAACGGGATAGGATCAAAAGAGCTAGAAAAGTGTAGAATGAAAAAGTTTTTCTTTAATAAATAATGTAATAAATAGAATAGAATAATGGTATATTCCTACTTAGTTACATATTCGTTATTCATTTGAGACTAAGTGTTATTATAATTTGAAAATGAGAACGGCTTCTTCATCACAAACCTCAAGATTCTTAATCGTAAAATGATATTCAAATCTTGCAATGATATTGTTCTTTAAAATATTGAAAATTAGGTGCAATAAATAAGGCTATTTTGATTTTTACGATGATTTAGGAAGTATTTCTACAGGTTCTAGGGTAAAACCAAAATCATCAAGTGAAAACATTGGTTCCGTGGTAGTTAACACAGACTAGATAGAGAAACTGACGTGTAGTTAATGAGTATTTAAGAGATGGCGCGGATTTATTCTATGCTCAAACCGTGAACAGTTTTGTTCGCACGGCCATATCTTGTCATTTATATCACTGATGATAATAAATCACTGCAGTAGGATTTTTAAATGTCATATTAAGAATCGATAAAAATGTAGCACTAGATAGTTGGTCGTAATGTCATAGGTGCCAGGTATGTGAGATTTGCCATTATTTATCGCCAAGTCACGATAATGCCAAATCTTCCTTATTAAGTGAGAAGCTAAGTACTTTTGCAAGCTAATGAGGTTATTTTTTTAATTTCTATAATTTTAAATATAATAAATTACTTTATACTATACTAGCGACCCGCATTACTTCGCACGGGTAATTTCTGAATCTCGAAAACAGCGCTACCTACCAGGTCCAATTGTGGATATAAACTCACTCAAACGCACACAAAAATTCCATCAAAATCGTTCGAACCATTTTCGAGTTTTAGACTAACGGACAGCAACTGATATATATATATATATATATATATATATATATATAATTTAAAAAATTGTAGTGTAGTGTAGCTCCCACGACAGTATATATTAATGTTGATTGTAGATGCTAAGGGAGTAGTCTAATTCAAGGCTTAAATATACGTGGTAGGGCCATGCTACAGTTATATTAGTAGTATAGTTATAGCACGAATGGGTCGGCTCGACCGTGGAAGGACCACGCTCTCACAGAATACCAGCGTAAATAATAGCTTAATGCTGCTGTGTTTCGTATATTGAGTGTAGAGAACCGGGGACCCTTTTTACTTGAAACGAGGCACTCCATCTTGGTCCTTATGGGTGACAACGCATCTGCATGTTGATTTGTAATCGAGGATAGATGTAGATGTCTATGGGCCGCAGCAACCACTTACCATCAGCCGGGCTAGCATGGGCAGGAGAGAATATATCCCCGGGGAAGGGATAAAATTTTTATCATTTGCTCAGTTTTATCCACCCTGAGAGCATGGGCAGGAGACAAAAATTATATCCCCCGATTATATCCACTGACAAGAGATAAAATTATCTTATCCCTATAGTTTATCCCCGTTTGACATAACGAGTAAACTTATATCTCCCCGTCCGTAGCATGGGGCCGAACGAAAGAGAAAAAATTATCCCTTTTTGACATTTGAAAGGGACAATTTTATCCTCTTTCGTGGACGTGGGTTTAAGTTTATCTTCAAACCATTTTAATACAAAAAATATGTCCCCCATTGAGTTATTGGGTCTCAATAGCTCAACGCCATGATTTAATTACATGGGTTGTGTCATCAATACCCAAGGCCATATTTAATGATATTAATGATATTATATTAAACCCATATTTAATGATAATAGAATCGTTATCAAACTTAGTAAAGTTACAATTAAAAGGTTTAAATTAAGAAATATGTTAATTCTTTAGCAAAGCTTGTTAAATATTTTAAAGGCTAATATACATAATATTAGGAATACAAATAACACAAGATCATAAAATTATTTATTCTTTGTTTCGTTTGAAATCATTACATTTTCATTCTTCATGCTTCATCATTTTCAATTAAAATTAAATCTTTGTGACTTACAGTAGCATCAATTTTGATGTATTTTGTAATTTTCTCATAATGGCAGTAATTGCGGTGATAAGACTTCTTTTAATTTCCTCCAAAGGGTCTGTATTGTCCTGTTTCACAATTTGACTTACTTAATTCTAGACACATATTTTTTAACAAATGCAAACAAGCGAAGTAATTATATAATAAGATTTAACACAAGCAATGTACACTTAACTTAAATATTATACAAAATAAAATAAAGAAAGAATTAGAATAATAGAAAAAATAAAAACAAGACAAAAATATGCTTAAAATAAATACAACAATTATTATAAATGACATATTGTTTAACAAAAATTATTAACAGTTTAGCTATATAATAAACAAAAGGTAAAAGAAAATATAAGTTAATGTAAATCATTTTCATTAAAAACATAAGTAATTTCTACAGTTTGCACAGTGTCTATATAAATTTTAATTTACAATTTTACTATTTTACAATGACTTACATTAATTTACAGTAGTCTCTAGTCGCCACAGTAAGATATTGTAATATTTTATTTCTTATACATTATTAAAGGAAAGGCATGAAATAATAATTTAAACATTTATGTTAATAATATTAAAAGAGAAAAAAAGGTAAGTATATACAAAAAAGAACTTATCAGCTATATTAAGTCTACTAAAATTATTCAAAATATAAAGTGGATAATTACACTTCACTTCTTTGTTATATCTATGGGATATTACAACTAAATTAGCATTGACAAGTAAAATTTGTAACATGGAAAGAAGAATGCAAAATTAAAATAGGATAATAAAAAAGTGGATCTTATAGCTATATTAATGTAAAATTAACAATGTGCAGAGATGTTATAACAAATATAGAAAAAAAAACACGTTGGGCATGAAATAAAGTTAAGAAAAAAAATTGATATAAATCAATGAATTCCTAACTATTAAAGTGAACGACAATTTAATATTTTTGAGCTAGTGTTTAGTTTAGCTAGCCACTACACATAAAACAAACTTATCACGGAATGGCGAAAAGGTATATGTTTTAAAAAATATTCACTATTAAAAAACTGCTTATCTAAACAATTTAAATTTCACCCCCAGTAAGAGCATGAGTTTGTCCTCTATATACAAAAAAATGAAGGGGGATCGTTAGTCAAAAATAAGTTATTGGAGTCCAAACTTACAAGATGTGGGACACCAGCTGCAAAAGTGTGGTTATTCCGAGGATATACACTTCCGGCTGATGATGCATATATTTTCGGAAAGAGCTTTCTGAGACGCCGCAAACGACACCTTCAATTCCAGCCGGAGACTCCTGGTTCGCGAAATCACCTACCACGTGGTTTTCGTTTTTCCTCTATAACTCGGATGTCCTTTATCCAAAAATTCCAAATTTTTGGAGAGTGATGCGTCCCCAGGTGGCGCACAAAATCACTAAAAAAAATAGCAGGTTGTGGCGACTAATCGAGCGTCGCAAGCGATTTACTTAAAAACTTTTTCACTTAAAAAATCATTAAAAATTGTTTTGCGGCTAAAAAAAAATTACACCACTCGATGCGTCTCGTTAAAACGCATATTTTGACACTAAGTTTACTTATATATGTTCACTTTTTACCACTTTTCGAATTTTTTACTGCGGGAGCGTCACAGTTTCGTGGCCAATTCGTGGCGTTCCGCTTTGTTTGCTCGTTCCTTGTACTTGTACGTGCCCTTTATACTTATACTTTAATAGCTTTATACTATGGTATATTATCTATGCGCGGGGATAAGCTTATCTACTGTTGATATTATATCCACCATATGTCCATGCTCGCAGGGTGGATAAAATTTTGGCATAGGGATAAGACAATTTTATCCCTTGTCAGTGGATATAATCGGGGGATAAAAATTTTGTCTCCTGCCCATGCTAACCCGGCAGGTGGACTGCATGCTCGTTTGTCACCCATCCTAAAAAAAAATTTGAGCAACACGTCTCTTCTAATTTAACGCCTTCTAACATTACTTAGTAAATAAGTATAATAATGTTATTGTTTGTAATATAAAAAATTTGATTATGTTCCTAATATAATAATGTTACCTTGGTCCTTTTTAAATTTCACGTGTAAAATATTTTTCTTCATCACGTTGTCGACGAATTTCGAACAGTTTTCCGACCATTCTTTAAACTTTGAATCCTCATATTCCTTTATAACTTTTGAGAAGGCTTTGTATAGCTGAAAAGCTTCCTTTTTCTGCTCGCAATCATTGAGTTCCGGTACCTGCAATCAATTGTGACTTAGTGTGGGGTTCGCTTTGATAAAGTAAAGTGGCGCGGAGGGACGACGGTGGAAAGTCTTCCACGCGATTGGTCTGTAAGGAAATCGACGTCGTTAAATACTCATACATATAATATTATAATTACGTTTACATTTCATAAAGTATCATCAAAGTATATTGTAAAATATTTTAAAACTTGCTGTTATTGCGTCTTTAATAGATACAATCGCACCTCAACTATCTATTATTTTTAATACTAGTATCGACTCTGGTGTGTTTCCTGATTTAATGAATCATTGTAAAGTAATACCTTTATTTAAATCTGGCAGTACATTGGACCCCGCTAATTTTAGACCTATTTCTGTACTTTGAATAAAATCTTAAATTTACGGATTTTATCGCGTTTATTTCACTACTTTTACTTATTTATTAATTCCCGACGTTTCGGGTGCTTTACAGCAACCATGGTCACGGGGGGGGACTGAGATGTTTGAGGTCCCAATGTCATAGTTAGTCCGGCTACCTTCAATTTTTGAATATTAATTTTTGGTCCGATTTACGCAAAACGAGCTTATAGTATCATGAAGTCTTGCAGTGGTATGCTTAGGTTTGGGTTTAATTTTGTTAATTATAGGATCCCAAGCAGGTGGCAGCACCCATCCATCTTCTCTATTGAAATTTGGATGTTTTTTAATTTCAATAGCCTCGCGTATCATCCTTGGTAGGAATCGGTGTTCTTTTGCGAGAATTTGTGGTTTATCAAAACGAATGTAATGGTGGGGACGATCTTGAACATGTTCGCAGACTGCAGACTTCCCGGAGCGTCGGTGCTTCACGTCAGCTATATGTTCGAAGAGGTAAGAGGGAGAAAGTTCTGGCAGTGAAACTAATCAGCATTTAGAAGTACCAAAGTAAGGGTTGTCTCCCCGCTCTACTAGAAGTTGAATCCGAAATATTAATTTTAAAAAAAACCAACTTTTAACTTACATGTTTTAAGGTGATACCTCGAAAATTTGGTGGTTTTTTTATTTAACATATTTTTTTTAAGTTTTATATATTACAAACAAAAACTTTGCTATATGATTTTTGACTATATGACGTTGGATTGCATAAAAGGAAAACACGATATCATGTAATTTTCTCGATAGAAAAAAATTGAAAAGTAAGCTCTAATTATTTACATGTCTCCATGACACCACAATATTCTTACGAATAAATTATGGAATTATTTTTAAGGCATAGTAAATAATCATATCTAAGTTCTCATAAACCAGTTTTTAATCCATAACGAAGCTTTGTTAAAATAAATAAAAATGTTGTTTGGCGCTAACGTAGTTTTTTTCCGAGCGCTTGCTCGGTATGGCTATCTCATAATTTGCGTACTATTAAATCATTGCATCACTTTCATTTAGACACTCCCTCGGTCGTCCGTTAGCTTCACCGACCAAGGAATAAGCCACGCCCCCAAAACTTCGATTCATTTTCAAGGTATCCTCTTAATAATTTGCACTTGCACTTTATCATTACTTATGCTTTTATATTTAGTGGTAGATATGCTAGAGTATATAGGCCATATTATAAGCTTATAAAAACCAAGATCTGACAGTTGTCAGTCATTCAATAAAAGGTATAAATATCATTTGTGTTTTAGTGGTGAAATTCCCAAAAATACATATATATGGGTTGACTGGTAGAGAATGCCTCAAGGCATTAAGTCCGCCCTTTGTATTCTTTTGTTAAGGATGCAATAAAGAATAAAATAAATAAATAAATAAATATTTGGCGTGTGTATAATAGTGTATTTGAAAAAAGCCTGATGACCTCATAAAATAGCAACATAACAATCTCAACTAAATAATATTGATACCAGAAAATGGTCGTAAAGGCCAAAACACGAGTTTTCAGTAGAGTCAAATAACAAAAAAATAAAATTGTTTTTGTCTAATAACTTTTTCAAACAAAGTACTATATTCATGATGTCAAAAGAGATCCCAACTATTTTTTCGTATTCACACGTTCACAAGACACTGATGAAGATCTTCTTAGGGTTTTCATATGTTTAACAAGAACTACAACGTTTCATATTGACAGGAGGCTAGCAGCAACAAGTTGATATACTCGTAGCTAAATGCCTGCAATAAAATTGCTTATAAAATATAATTTGAACAAACCTTTTGAAACTTCATTACCGGCTGCTTCATCTTGTTAAATAGTGCTCGAGCCCAGTATATCGCGCCAGCCACAGGCGGATGATTCCTGAGCAATGGCGGGTTCTTGCGGAAACGCTGAAATATTGCGCAATATGTTTTATTAGTGATTGTCATTGGTTATAAATTGTTGATTTTTTAGTTGACGTTCTTTTGCCATTTCAAAAAATTTATGAACAAACAGTAGCAGCTGATGTCAATTTATTAATTATTTACTTGTACTACACATCGAATTGGATAAATAGAATGGGAAGATCTGACACTAGAAGGAAATTTGCAAACATAAGAATATGAAGAATATCACTTTTAATAAATCTTTCTTTCCTTCTTGTTGGTTGACTATTGTGGACAAAGAATCTGTTGAGCTGCTCCAGTGCGTGGTAGGTGGTTCTCAAGTCTGAAATATTCTTATTGACCAAACAGTGCAACATGCTAACTTACGAACGAAAATCTGACAACCGTTAAATGATATAATATCAATTCGACAATGACATACCCAAATCTTAGAGATCGGTGTTGGGGAGCAGCATATATTATTACACACATAAAACATATAACATTATACGTGGTAGAGCCTCGTTGTACCAGGAATTGGTCGGCTCGAACGGGGTAGGACCACGCTCTCACAGAATACGAGCGTAAAATACGCAGCTTAAGGCTTCTGCGTCTCGTATCGGGAGTGCAGAGAACGGGAGATCCATTTTACTGGAAAAGAGGTATTCCACCTTAGTCCTCAGGGATTGTCACACCTGAGGACTAACATCTGCATAATCATCTGAATTTTGATCCTTAATGGTGGATAAATGTCTATAGGCCACAGGATCCACTTAACAAGATGTGGACTGTGTGCTCGCTTGTCCCTCTTATTCTATAAAGAAAGCATATTCAGTGCAATGATATCGGCTCTGCTTGCTAAGCGTGGTGAGTATACGTAAATCTATGAAATACACATTTAAAAAAAGCCTACCACCAGAAGTAAGAAATGCTGTTTAGAAAAAAAAGTTAGGTACTACCATGGTTCACTTCACCGAGTTCTATGGTAACTCCTTCACAGTTCAGGTTACACGCCTTTGGAACTCCTTGCCCGATGACATCAGAAAATCTCCCAATAAGTACGCTTTTAAAAAGTTGGTCCGTGATGATTTTTTAAAGACAACGCATTTTACATGATTCATCTATTTAATATGTATTGCCAAACAGACGTATATATTCATAGTCATTTGTATATACTAATTATGTATCTATTTAAATATGTATACTTGTATGTATATCCATTTATTTATATATTTGTATATATGTAAGGATAGATCATATATGTATAGTTTAGTTATTAGTAGTTTGTATATTATATTATGTAGTTAAATATCATTTGTATTGTGTTCTCTTATTCTATATTGCCACACCTACGTCAAATTCTCACCACTCCATGGGTTGACTGGTAGAGAATGCCTCAAGGCATTAAGTCCGCCCTTTGTATTCATTTGTTTAAGGATGCTATAAAGAATAAAATAAATAAATAAATAAATGGTTCTAAAACTACCATGATTCTGTTTGTGAAACAATTTGTAACTAAAACTAGAATATAAACAAGAAGTAAGAAATATTTTCAAAAAAAAATAATAATAATATGGTATTAGCTTATTCTATAGTGGTTAAATATCACCGAGAATACTATATGTAATGCGTTCAATTCACACATTATATTAATAATTCATATAAATAAAAATAATAATTGTTACAATTAAATAAAATACCGTAAACTTGTCTTCAATGGCAGTGATTTCCTTAATGAACTGACGCATCACCAAATCGAATTTGGTAGACAGTTCTTGGCGAATCGATTTTCTCGTATCAAACTCGAGGAACTTTAGTAGCACGTCTAAAGCTTCTTCAGCAGATCTGAAGAAATTTTACATATAAAAATAAATAAGATTTTTAAAAACATTTATTGCCTCGTCACTTTTGACGACTAAGGGGAAATTTGTCACAGCTTGTAATTATACGAGATGGGGCCATGTTCAGCAGTGGTGAGGGGTTGTTATATGGCTCTCTATGCCCTTCAGACCGGAAACAGCAATGCAAGCACTGCCATTTAGCGGCAAGAATAAGCCAGAGGGTGATACCACCAAACGGACTTCTAGCCAGAAAAGCAGTTTTACCACCTGTAGAAAGTTATTGAGGATAAACGGTCACACAGTCCTTTTCATGATATATAGATGATAATAATATCTGGCATTTAAAAATATTCTTTAGGACAGTTACTCCTACAGTCGCATTGAGTTTGAGGAGTTAAACTGAGGGTAAGTTCCGAAATGTTTTCAGTATATTGGCGAATGCAAATAACGTCATTAATTGACGGCATATTCCACACTATTTCATATAACGAATCACCAGAATGGCATCGATATATGACGTCATTTGCAAATGCTAGTGTACTGGGTTGTGTTTCAGAACATACCCTCAATGTCCATGTTTCACCATATTTCTGACACAACATTCGATTCTATCAGTTACTAGCGATTCGCGTCGGCTTCGCACGGGTGATTTCTGGATCTCAACAATAGTGTCACTTACCAAGTCCAAATTATTTCATCAAAATCGGTCGAGACGTTTAGGAGTTCAGAGACAAACACAAATACAGAAAAATTATATGTACATTTAAAGATAATTTTATTACAGTAAACTTTACCTTAAATTTCCGAAGCTCTGATTGATGTAATTCTTCGCTTCATCCTCCAAATATCGAACCTCCTTCCAGAAGTCGCTCATTATGACGTCCCAGTTCTCCTTGTTGTCAAACACGAACACGCTGAAGTCGATCGTACGTATCGGGTACACGAGATTCTTCACGCGCTTTCGAACGTCGTCAATTTGCGTCGGGTCGCTTATGATAGACTTCAGTTCCGCACCGAATATTCGCTCGAAGTCAATGAGAACCTACCCATATTATTAACATGTTAAGCAAGCTCATTTTATTGTAACTTAATCGAGTAATCTTTAAGTAAATTTCATAAGCAAATGATAATATTATCTCATATATAAAAAATAATATTTGTTTGTTCGTATTTTATGGGCTGCCATGTCGTTCGTCAGATTACGGTAAAACTTATAATTTGAACTTGCGCGAGGGTTATAGGCATAGTACAATTAATTTACAGTAAGTGGCGCACGTATCGTAAAGTTATATATCATTCAACTTCAATGAATGCATATTATAATTACCAATTAAACAATATAACTCTTACAAATATAAAACGATATTTCCACAATTACTTTTAACGCGGATACAACGCGCCGGGTAGTTTCTTATAAAAATATCATAAACACTTGATCAAGAATTAAACAGGATTCCTATTTCCGCTATTTGGAAAGAAAAAAGACCACTTTAAAAACTCGTAAAGTAGTAGTTTCTACGCCTTGAAATGAACACGTAACCTATTACACATCAAAGGGTTGCGTTGGCGCGAGTTTGGTAAAGGAGAAAGCAAGATAGCAATGTGACTAGCTGTCTATTTTTGTTCCCAGTTTTTAATTATAAACGTAACACCGCACAATAAAAGACAGGTTATTCGACATTATTCGACAGTTTCTCGTAACACAAAGGAAATATTAACATTTCAATCATATATCAAAAATTATTGAGAGAAAACAAAAGACGGTGTTATTGCTACATAGCAATATGTTCCAGAAAACTCAAAAAATAATTAAACAAAAGGAGGAGAAAGATTAACGGGTAGGGTGCACCATAATAACAAAGGATGTCATCAACTTGTGCACTTAAAAGACAACAACTTTAGACGATAGATCAAATATCATAAATAAAAGGAAAAAGCGAGAAAGGTTAGACAAATAACGTTACTTAATCTGTTTCTGTAACAACTTTGTAAGGATTAAGCACGTATAATCGACATAGCTAAGGAGTTCAAAAGTTCTATACCAAATATATGTAGTTCTATACCAAATACCGTTTTAACGATGTAGCGGTTAACGCTCGCTGAAAATATAACAGAACGCGAGTAACCCGGGCTCGATCCCCACCGGCACCAATGAAATTGTTAATTGCAATTTTAAGTGCTGATTTACCACGAGTTCGGCGGTGAAGGAAAACATCGTGAGGAAACCTGCATGTCTGAGGAATGAGAAAAAAAATATTTCGAAGACATGTGAAGTTCGCCAACACGCATTGGGGCAGCGCGGCAAACACTTGCTTGCGCTTAAACTCTCTCAGAAATGAGGGGAGGCCTGTGCCCAGCAGTGGGACGTATATAGGCTGTAACTTTACTTTTTTACCAAATACCGAGAAGGTAGGCTTCCCTGTGCACATGTTCGAGACTAACAAGATTGCCGTACCTGCACGACATCGGCTAAATCGCTAGCAACTGTGCCGATGTAGTCCGTGGTATTGAAGAGAAGCGGCTGTTCGAACTCCCAGCGGGCGCCCTTCCCGCTCAACTCGATGTTACGTCGCGTATCCTTGTACAAAGTGTGCCACATCTCCATGATCTTCTGACCGGCGCGCGCGAGTGACAGCACTTCTTCGTTACTTTTACTGAAATATACAATTCAAAGTAACACTGTAATTTGAGCATTTTATACGTCTAAAAAATGTACAATTTCCCAATTTTTTTATAGGATAGTGTGACAAACAGTTCACATGATGGTAAGTGGTTGCTGTGACCCATAGACATCTACATCTATCCTCGATTAAGAATCAAAATGCAGATGCGTTGTCACCCGTGAGGACTCAGATGAAATGCCTCGTTTCCAGTAAAAAGGGTCTCCGGTTCTCTACACTCAACATTCGAAACACAACAGCATTAAACTACTATTTGACGCTAGTACTCTGTGAGAGCGTGGTCCTTCCCCGGTCGACCCGACCCATTCGTACTACAACTATACTATTAATACAACTGCAGCATGGCTCTACCACGTATAAGATAGATAATACCCTATATACGGGGTTATTTTCAATGAGTAGCCAAATTTTAAACTTAAGATCAAATAATATATGAATAATGATATACCGTTATGTTAGTTTTTGAAAATACTTGTAAATAAAGCTTCTACTGTTATTTGAAATCATCCCATATTGAATGTGATTTATGGGCAACAACGTTTTCGCCTAATGATCGACCCTTACGAATTAGTGCGTGTACAGTAAAACCCGTTAAAATAATGTATTACCACCCATTTTGAATTTAAAAGATTACAGGGACAGAATGTTTAAGATTTTTTTTTAATTAATTTTTCTTCGCCATTATTATTACTTATTCTGAACATTCTCTAGAAATTTGGCCGGTTATTGCATTATAACTCTGTATATTAATTAGGATGTGAAGGGAAAACTCTGTACCCGTTTGTACCAGTGACCATCACTTTTCTAGTGGTAAGTTTTTATTTAGGACATTGTTTAGGTGCTGAGCTAAAATTGTCAAACAGAATCTATTTTTCGTGGAAGGCAACAATACGGTTCAAAATTCCTTCGTTTGTGTGAATGTTGAGCAGTGCAAGACACTTCTCGATGCGTGATTAGCGCTGCAGATCATTGATTTATTAAAGCACCCATTTGCCTAAAAGCTTACTTTTACCTTTACAATTTGACGCAAATGGACCAATATTGTTTTGATGATAACGTCGAAAGCTGCTGCTAAGTCAGCCGTAGATTGAGTATCATCAGCTTCCACAATCACTTTTTATTCGTCATTGTCGACGAAAGTTTTCGAACGACCACGAGGTTCATTTTTCAGGTCGAAATGTCCAGAACGGAAGCGGGCCAACCAATAATAGGTGGTGCGTTCATTTGTAGTATTCACTCCGAAAACGTCGTTGATGTTACGTGCCGCTTATGCCGCATTGCTGCCACGGCGGTACACATATTCCATAATTTCTCAAATTTTTAACGTATTACTCGAAAACATAAGACTAATCAATAAACTATTGACTAATTTTGAAAAAAAAAATACTCCATGTTTAAAAAAAATATTTGAAATTATAATTCTTGGCCAAACAAAAATTATTTTGATTTGAAAGGGACTGTACAGCATAATAGCAATTTCATAGGTAAAGAGCTATTACATAGAATAAAAAAATATTTATTTCTATAAATGTACAATCAGTGGTTCGAAACATCGGTCAAAAATGTACAAATTTTATTTATGTGCTACTTTAAGTGTGGTTTTTGTTACAAAGCTACCATACTACCCATTATTCATTAGGTTTTTGCTTGAATTATATTTGTTCATTTGAAGCCTAGATATACTTATAAACTACCACAAAGTACTTATTTTACTTTTGAGTGTCTGAAGACATCATTTTGTGTTGTGTTGATGACTCAAATGTAAAATAATAATCGATATTGGAATCGATTACTTTTTGACCCATATACATGGGCCAAAGGATCCAGATCGTAATAAATAAAGCATGAATTAATGATTGAAACGATGATACGTACTGCAATGTCAACAAGAACGTTATTTTTTTATCTAGTGCTTCATATGATTTAAAATTAACAACATAATTCCAGTTTTTATTTATTAGAGCAATCTTGTAATATACTTTATCTGGGCATTTCTGGGGCACAGATGGGCATTGTCATTTACACAAAATATAATACAGACACCTCATACTTACTCAAACAATTTATGTACATTAAGAAATCTCTCCAACTTATTGCATAGAGCCCAAGAGATCCTAGCCATGAGAGGCACCATTGTTTCGTCTGTCCTGTAACCTTTGGAGAGCACCCACACCATAAAAATGCTCTCCATCAGCTCCGGCATTATTTCTATTACTTGCTGGAGAGGCGAATCGTCTTCTATAATCTAAATAAAGTACAAAAAAGTTAGCATGTATTTGCCTTTTTTGATACATGTATAAACTCTTTATTCAACTGTGTGTTTTACATTTGCAAAATTAATAATTGTAAATGTAAAATACTTATATTAAAATTGAGAGTTTATCTAAACTTGCTAATTTAGCACGTTTAAAAGGCTTGAAAATTTATATAAAAATTACGTTTAACTTTTTTTACCTATAATTCAGTTGGACTTGAATGTAGTGTAGAGATAAATCTTCTTTAATTAATTTTTTACTTTCACCACTTATTTGGAAATATATTATGTCCTGGGAAGCAATCACCTTATTCCCAGAGTCATTATTAACCATGCATTTATTTATATTATAATAAATAGGTTTCGTAAAAAAAATTAAGCTCTTGAATTTCAATTCATCCATACCATACATTATACAACTCTCAAGCCTGTCACCTAGAGAGGTAGGCAGAGATTGCGGCCTTTCATTTGGAATGATTCTGACACATTTCTCGCTTCTTTCACATGCTACGCATACATCGCTTTCGGTTAAGAGAAAGTACTCTTAATTTGGCCCAATTTTAATAATCACCAATTTAATTCAAAGACATTTTAATCGATTGACTGATTGAGAAATAAACACGTAAACACGAGTTTTCAGTATGAACCACCTATACGCAACCAACGTGTTAAAAACAAAAATCACACAATGTCAAAGTTTTGTCTATTTTGCATAATCCAAACAGAAAAACCATATCTATTGACCATTATGAGAATGTCCAGCTCTGCATAGAACAAAATGCATACCCGTGCGCTTTTTCTATAAAATTAGAGGTAACTTGAAAACATTGTAATTCTGCAGCTTCGTTGATGGTCAAGTAATTCGTTGGGTATGTGAGCACCCCGCCCACCTAATTAACAAAAAATATTTTCTATGTTATGAAGGCGTTGCTATATAACAGCATAATCGCAGTCCAGCTCCTTTGAAAAATCGATTTGGGTTACGGAGACATATTATGATGAGGAGTTGGTTACCGTGGTTTAAGCCAGTACGAGTTCGACGTAATCTCTTTGATGCCTTCACATCGAAACAATGTGATCCATTAGAAAATACTCACAAACAACGAAAATATATCTTTTACGATTAGCTCCATTAGTCGCTATTGTAATAAGTTTTTTTTTTAATAGTACTGAATTGGCAAACGAACTAACAGTCCGCCTGATGGTAAACGGCTACTGCATTCCACGGCCACCTGCAGCCAACTTCAAACATATAACCTCCAAGTCACCCATGAGGGAGTTGTTACGTTTATCCACCCTAAAGAATCCACCCTAGGGTGGATACTCGGCAATGCGTGTACATCTATCCGCCACAGACGGGGTGGATAATTGGAATTCGTATATATTATTTTTCTTCCGAAATTCTTCCTCGGATCTGTACAGTCATTTATAGAAACATGATAAAAACTCAAGATACTTAGTAGATATACCTATAAAAATATATACATACTTTTTGTTTGAAAGGTTAACGCTGAAATAAAAGGAGTACCTCACAGGATTACAGATACATTACAATCTTGGAATAAAATAACTTAAAATAAAGCTAAAGACAAACTTCCAAACAACGCTTTAGGAATGCTTGCAAAAAAAAAACTCCCAATTCTTAGCTAACACATCTGTGAGCAAAGAAATTTTAAAAACGATTGCAAATGTACATTAAAAGTGACGAAGTTATCCAGGATATCAAATTACACTTAAATTATTTTAAGTGTAGATATCCTGGATAACGTATTATTATTACAATTAAAAATAGTAATTAAATGAGTGTCGGTAATTGCCTGGACATATTGCAGAATTTATAAATTACTCAATAATATTATTTAAAACGAGGAAGTTTAATTTGATTTAAATGGAAGGTTTGTGGTTGTTAAAGATTAATTAATAATTAAAGTACGCATGTCCGTTTGTCCCCACATCTCGTGTGGAGAAACGGACATGCGTTTCCGAGTATCCACCCTAAGGTGGATTCTTTAGGGTGAATAAATGGAATAACCCCTATGAGGTCTAAGATGGAGTGCCTCAAAGTCTGCAATCATACTGTCGCTATCTATCCTTCAGACCAAAATACATAGCAGTACAAGTTCTGCTGTTTAGCGGTAGAAATATGCAAATGTGTGGCACGCAACCAGACATACTCTTAAGTAGATTAGGAAATATAGGACTCGTAGTAAATCAAAATTATTTCATGTAGAAATTATTATGGTTATTATTCTAATAATATAAAATCTGTGTAAGTTAACTTGGATAACAGCCTACTTTTTATAGATTAACTTCAAAAACGGTTTACATGAATCTAAATCTTTTTACACGAATATTACTGTATAATACTTAAATCTAACTTACGTTAAAAAAGCGTAACAGCGTTGACAGGAACTTTAAGTTGTCACCAGCCAAATAATACTGTTCTAGAAGTCTCTCCTTAAAGTTTCTAAAGCTCTGCGAAAGAAATATAATATATTAATTAATAACTGCGACTAATTAATTTTTCTTATAATATATAAGAAAGCTTTAAAGCGTATGCCGCTATCCTCAATTAAAAATTAAAGGTAAAGGCTGTTTAAAAATTATGCAAATTAATTCTTTACAAAACCGCTTTAATATTCAAAAACCATATATAAATAATCGCGTATCGAAAGAGAAGACATAAAAAATAGCATGTGTTTTTTTAGTCAGTTTAACAAGCATTAAACAATAAAATATAGTTCCTCAATAGTTTTTAGAACAAAATTTTCGTGTAAGACGTAACTTATTTATTTTTATAACTGAAGTGACTTTAAACTATCATAATTGCGCTCAGAATTATATTTTTTTCTCTCAGGATATTTTAAAATATTTAAAAAAATATATTCCATAAATTATTAGCTAATAAGCTTAGTTTCCGAAATGTCTATCAGTAAAGGAGCCTCCAAGTGTCCCCCCTCTCCTCACTATTAAAATTTTTAAATAATGTAATAAAAACTAATAAATGGTATGCTAAACATACAAATTGAACACGTAGTTACAATTATACATCAGTAATAAAAAACAACTATTGACATATACACATACAGCGTATAGGAATTAGTTTTGTTTTTACCTCCAAGTATGGCGAGTTCGTATTCTCTAATAAATTAAGTATCTTCACAACGATTGGTTGTTTGAGTTGTTCCACAAGAAGAGATAGCTCGGCATCGCGCTGACGCCAGTACTTGTATTCAGCGACTGGACCATCGCCTTCGCGGGTCTGTTTGATATAGAAATTATCACCCTTTACTGAGTGAGAGCTTAAGTAAAAAAGCAAAATCAAAATCAAAATTGTTGAATATAATAAATATTTAAATCACACAATTTAGACATCCGCATCCGCAATAAACGCAGAGCTGCCAGCGAGTGTTATATGTCGCGCGCATATTTAGCACTTTTACTACAATTAGTGAAGTTCGCCAACACGCATTGGGGCAGCGCGGCGGACACTTCCTTGTCATAAAACCCTCTCAGAAATGAGAAGAGGCCTGTACCCAGCATTGGGAATTATATATAGGCTGTAACTTTACTTTACTACAATCTACCAATTTCTAAGATAAATAAAAAACGACTAATGTAAAAAATACCATCACTTTATATAACTTTCAATTAGTAGGTATTTATTTTACACTGAGAATAATTTACTTTTTTGGTTAGGGAATACTGGTTATTGAAACCAAATGAAATAGTGAATACTTATAACCAAACCATTATAGGTCTTGCACAACGACTAAAATCAATATAAACCTTATTCATACGCGATAAGGTTTATTACGTTAACTCACCTTAACCAAACAAGCAGTAATAGTATTATCAATGTGTGTTTGCCACATATTGACAGCTTCTTCTAGTTGTGTCACAAGTTTCGGATCATTTACATCCACATCAGCTTGCTCGTCTGCCAGAATCGATATATTCGGCATAGGCATATGAATTTCACCCTCTATGTGTTCAATGGTCCTAAAAGTATTTTTATACGTTATGCTATATGATAAAACAGTAAATGAAGTTGAAAGTTTGTCTGTACATGAATACAACGTTAAGTCTGTAGAGAAGATTTTGAGATATTTATACATTAAAAAAAATCTGGTCGTTTTAATAAATATGTCATAATGGGTGCGTTTGGCAGAAAAAAGCGCTAGCAAGCGCTTGTAAGCAAAATCGCGATCGTAAGCGGTAAACGCTGTCAAATCGTAAGTAGCTATTTTCCTCCAGGACACGATGTTAGTTTTAACCGGGGAATCTAACCTAATTTAAATATGTGTTTGTAAAGTATTCATATTAAAAACTTACCAATCATGAATTTTTAATAGCATGTATATGTTTATTCACGTTATTATATTACTTAAAACTAATATTGCAAAAAACAACTTATAAAGTCTACTTCAAAACAAACAAATTAAATAAGCAAAATGGCGGATTGTGTCAGCGCTACTGAAGTAGCAATCGTGTCCTGGCCGAAAACTATTTTAGCGCTTATAAGCGCTTGCCAGCGCTTTTTTCTGCCAAACGCACCCAATCTTTGAAAATCTCTGTTCGCCGGTAGCTTGCGTTCAAAATGCTAGCTCGCTTCCCTTTAAAAGGTTAGCGAGCAGAGTAAAAGCGGAGCGACGGTTGCTAAATACGTCAAAATTGAGAACAGGGTTTTGTTTGTGGGTTTGGTCCATTTGGGTTTAGTTTTAAGCTCTAAATTTTGTCGTTTCTTTTTTTTTTTTTTTTTGATTAGCGGAATCTTTTTGTATCTTAAAAAGGTGTTTGCCAGAAGATTTTATTTTCATTTTTCATTTCTATGAGAATCCTGCCCATAGAATACTATAATACATAAGTATTCTATGATCCTGCCTGTGTTGGCTAGTGAGATAAAGGCAGAGTATGAGCAAAGTATTGATATTTTGTTTTGTTTATAAATATATTTAAATGTTAAATCCCAGATAAATTATTCATTAAGGAAATACCAAAAAACAGTAAATTATCAAAAAATTTATACGCAATGTGTATAAAAGTATTTAACGCAATACCCGGTAACATAATACTGCAACCAAGGAGCGTTTCGGGAACGAGGTTAAAAAAGTGGCTAGTGAATAAATCATTTTATTCGGTGAGTTGTTGGAAAAACAATATCCATACATTTTGGACATTTTTTTAAATAATAATATTTTAGTAATTATATATCATAATATGACATGAAATTACAAATATTAATGATGTGATAATGCAAATATTAGTAAATGTTTTTGTTTTTTTGGGTCTCATTCTAGTATTTTTTATATTTTTTGGTTAGTTATTATGCAATGTCTGTATTTTTTTGTAGTTTTAATTTTTAATGTACTTAATAATAATTAATATTTTTAAAATTTAATAATATTGTACACAAGAAATTGTTAATGTGTTTTTATAACAACTGTAAAACACACACATTATACAAAATAAATAAATATAAAGTTAATGTTAATGTATTGGTAATTGGAAAATCAATAATAAAGTGATGTATATGACGCCGGTTATAAAATTTACGTCACGTACGTAGTGGCTCAAAACCATGTCGTGTGGCATTCCATAGTTTATGATGTGATAATGATTTTTACGCCATTAAATTAATAGTGAAGCACTTAACCACTTCAAAGCTTGTTGAAGGCATAGCATATTAGATAATCAACAGTATAAATAGTTTATTGGTGCGAAAAATTGTGGATCGTGAGTCCCCTCTGACCACCACCGTCTTCATTTAAGTTAACGTTGGTAAATAGTTAACGGAGATCCTAGTAACGATTATAATAGTTTTAGTATTTTTTTATTATACTGGATATTTTATCGTTAAAACCGGATAATAAACTATTGCTTGACAGCAGCAATGGGTAAGCTAGTGATAGCTACCACAAAGATAGATAAGATACACATAGACAAAAAAGGAAACTTATTAATGTGGTCGACTGCATTTAGTTCACTGTTATTCGTTTATTTATTAATTAAGTTGGCTGGTATAATAATTTTCAGAACAAGACAACAATCGAAACTAATTTGGCCCGGGCGCAAACATCAGTCTTCCTGATCAAATTTCCGATTGTGTTTTCTGTGTTGGGACACCCGAATTTCATACAAAACATTCTAAACAGCACATACGTTCGTAACATTTCCGAACGGAAACAATTTCTGACGTCTATTTCAAAAAACAAACCTGATGTTCGAAATTATGAACTGAAAAACTTAATGACGTCATCCAAAACCACCCAAAACGGAAATTCATTCATTCGGAATCAAAGATTTAGTTAGATGCGCCCTTACCATAGTATGACCACTCCGCAATCAGTGCTCATTTGTGCGACAGAGAAAGTAGTATATACAATTTCTGTAAGAGACTGTAAGAGAGATGACACTATTGCATTAGTGTGCTCGCGCGTCAGCGTCTTGCAAACGAACACATTCAAAAATAATGCCACAGTTTTCAAGGTGAAGGTAACTATTTAAATCTTTGTTCGGAATACGCTAATTGCAGTGTCTAGAGAAGGTGACCTCTTAGCGATTTTGTAACCACTGCTTGATAAGCATCACAACAATCGAATACATTTATGTAGTAGTAGTAGTATATATATATATATATTTAAATCTCTTTGACAACAATACATTTTAATGTATATTTTTACTATTATTCCAGTATTAATAATTTTACGAAGTTAAAAAATATTACCATTCCACAATTCCCACGAGGTCTTGAATGTCGCTTATGACTTCATCGGCTGTAGATTTTTGTTTATCAGTGGCATCATACATATCTTGTTGTTTTACCAATGTCAATGAGTCCTATAAACATTAATAAATTGTAAAATTGAAGAAATGTATTACAAATCGCATGTGTAGTAATTTATATAGATTACGGATTACAATCAGCGAAGTACCTGGTAAGACACGCAAGAACGCCCTGGTAAGACATGCAAGAAGTCGATGGATGCAGGTGGCTCAGGACCGTGCTTTGTGGCATTACTTGGGGGAGGCCTATGTTCAGAAGTGGACTTGTGAAGGGCTGTAATTATGGTGATGATGATGATATTCAGCATAAATTTTTGCAGGTTGTAATGACAATTGCAGCCTCTTGGCTTTGTATGTTTATGTATTTTTTAAACTATAATTTTTTTTCAGACCCTTAATTGGTCATACAGCATAAAGTTAATCATTTTTAAGTTCACCGCTACACAAGGCTTTTACAAAAACAAAAATTAACAAAGTGATAATCTTGGAAAAATTGCCTATTTTTACTACGCTAGGCAGACGAGCTATTGAGCATAGAGACGATACGTTCGCAATAATAATGCAACTTCCCATGCGTATGGCATTTGGAACGGAAGTTTTCATATTCCATCAAATGCGTCATTAATCACTTGTCAACATCCGGCCAATCAATAAAAAGGGTTAGATAAGTGTAGAGAATGACATTAAGATTTATAGGCGGTAGGAATCCTTTCCTGACTCTGGACTACTGGACTACGCTCTTATCTATTTATGCAGCCACATTGCAGTGCCAAGTGCCAGCCAAGAAAACCAGTATAATTACGTCTTAGTCCTCAAATGAGGCAACGCATTGTTAACCTTATTTATTTGAAGTTATCAATATGATTACTATACCCATACAATATGCTATCCTCACAAAATTATACCTTACAAATATATATTTATATATATATTATATATATATATATTTTTTTTTTTTATATATATATATATATATTAATAGCAGCGCCTCTTGAGTCACTGGCAAATGAAAATTGTGATTATGTCGTGTCCTTCGCGCATACAAAATCAGTGTCGGAAGTGTTAGAATAAATATGCTATTTGTGTTTTGTTAGGAAAAGGTGTAATTCACGTATACGTAAATAATTTAATAATGTAATTATATAATTCAATAAGGTAAGTTTACATGAGCTGAAGTCCACCTGATCATACCATCAGGTGGACTAAGGTAAGTTCGATGGTCACAAATTGAAATATTCTCCCTTAACCAGTCACCAAAAGCCAATAACTATTATATGGATATTTATTTATATTTTTTCTAAGAGCTTTATATCTTTATACCAAAGTCGCTAAAACCTTAGAAAAGTTATGCAACATGTGTAAAGTGAATATTGTTTTCATATCTTAATGATTTCAAATCAAAAATATTTTAATTACCATGACGTCAGCATTAATATTGGAAGGTTTTTGCTTAAAAGGCTGAGACCCATCGCGCATGCTTTTCATCCTGAAATATACATATATATAAGAACCATAATATAAATATCGGATACAAACGTAAGAAAGGTTAGGCTCAAGTTTAATTTCATAAAATATACGTTGAAAGTTATACAATCGCTACCTTATTTGTTTATAAATGACATTAACTAAAAACCTTTAAAAAAATATACTAATTTTTATGGATTTAATCGCGTTTTACTTCACGTTAAATTTAACTAGGTAAAGTCACGGGAGAGACCATCGGTGCTGAAAAGTACCCGAAATGTCGGGAATTAAAAGAGTTTTTAATTTAATCTGTAGTGTTCGCGTAAATATAAGTAATCATTAACCTTTCAAGACATCAAAATTTTTACTATTTGCTTCTATACTTTTATACGTGGTAGAGCCATGCTGCAATAACATAGTTGTAGCACGAATGGGTCGGCTCGACCGGGGAAGGATATATATATATATATATATATATATATATATATATATATATATATTTTTTTTGTTTTTTGTGTGTCTATGGGCCGCAACAACCACTTACCATCAGGTGGACTGTGTGCGTTTATCACCCAATCCTTTATAAAATATATATATTGCGAATAAATACAGTGTTTTACATTTAATTTATTAAGATAATTAAAAAGTACATATGAAAAAAAAAATCAGACCTCCTTTCTGCGTTTTCACCTCTTGCAATATTTGACATCCTGCGATAATCGGATGGTCGAAGATAATTGACCTGCAATACATAAAGTTAAATAAAAACAGCCAACTAAACTCGTATGCAGACTTGCAGCATGGTGGATAGATATATTGTATCACCAGACAGGCAGCACATACTCGTTTTTCATAGTAAAATCTTCGGCTAAATATAATGTCGAATTTAAGCTGACGGTGACTGTTAAAATACAAAAGCAAGTTTCAAGGCTCTACCTAGTCCGGCCATAAGTTCTGTTACAAATGAAAAGCATTTTTTTGATGCAGTAATGTAATATTACTAAAACTTAAATGTACATATTTATTAAAGTCTCAGCAAAAAATAAAAATAAAATTATATTCAAAATGGCCACCTTTGACTTTTATACAGGCCTTTAATCTGTCTGGCCATGAATCTATGGATGTAAGCACTGTTTCCATGGGAAATTTCGCCACTGCTTGCTCCAGAGATTTTTTAAGAGACTTAATATCGCCGTGTCGTTTAAAGTAAGCCATGACCTCTAAAACTGAACATAATTTGTATTCTAAACGGTTGAGGTCTGGGCTGGATGAGGGCCAGTCTTTAGCTCTTATAAATTCTGGAACGCTGGTTTCAAGCCAGGCTTGGGTAGTTCGTACCTTATGAGGTGCAGAGTCCTGCTGGAAAGTCCACGGTATATTTTTAAAAAGTGTTTTGCTGAGAGGTAAGAGACAGTCTTGGATCACAACATGATCCAAGACTGTCTCTTGATACACTTTGGCTAAAGTTTTCACTCCTTTTTCACAAAAATGTAGCTTTATGACGCTTCGATAAGACCGCCCCACCAAAGCCTCACTGATGCAGGATGATGACCACTTTGTATCTTTCCGACCACTTGAGTAGCTTCTTTAGAACTATGTGCGTACACTTTATCATTTTGCTGTGCTCTTAGCTCGTGAAATTTTTTTATCGGTAAAGAGGATATTTCTGTGCCCTTCACCTGCATATCGCGACAGGAGTTTTGATCGATCCACTCTCTCTAATTGTAAAGATTGATTTGGGGCGTGTTCTGTATATCGACGATTAGCTTCGGTTCGGTTCTTGTTTTATAATACGCGAAAGAGTCCTAGCGGGAATCTTCATTTCTCGTGATAAGATTTTTTGCTTCCTAATGGGATTTCGACGAATTCCGGCTTTAACAGCTTTAACAACCTTTGTAGTTCTAACAGCACGCGGTCGACCCGTTCTTTTATGGTCTTCGATAGAGGAAGTGTTGTTGTATCTGCTGTTAGTATGATATTCAAGGATACGGCGGATACCAAGCTCTTGAAGTGTCTGGAATATGACCGACGGCTCCATAACCACTTTGTGCAAGGCGATCACCGCAATGCTATTTTCTTTAACACCCCATTCCATATTGTAATTTGATTATGAACACGAAAAAATATGTGAAATGGCGCGAAATCGAAAGAACTAAAAAATAATGAACGCGTTCCAAATTCAAAATAATTAAAAGTTGAAAAAAGAAAAGTTTTTATGGAACTGTATTTATGGCCAAACTAGTCACATGTTGCCCAAAACTGATTCACTGCAGCGTCGAATAACAAAATATTAAAAACTAATACAAGTCAGTATTTCCTTTCTTTATTTGCTTCGCGTACGAAAATATAATAAAACATATGGGTTTATCAATAACACGAAATAGTTCTCTTCGCCTTGCTTGTGTGTATGTTAAACTTTATAGTGTATACATACATTTAAGTTCTAAATACAATAACCATGCTTACCTGAGATGCTGTCTCATCCATCTTGTAGTGATCACCAGCGTAGGAAACCTGCTTCGATAGTATGGCATGCGATGATTCCATATTCATTACTGTGACCTCACGGAATTGATGTCTAAATAAAGGTACGAACATCTGAAAATTAATTTTTAATACATTAATGTGACAGATAATCTAACTGTGCACCTGGCTACTGCAGTCTATGGAATTTTTTCCAAGTAAAGTAAAAAAAGTAAAGTTACAGGCTATATACGTCCCACTGCTGGGAACAGGCCTCCCCCCATTTCTGTGAGGGTTTTAGGGCAAGGAAGTCTCCGCCGCGCTGCCCCAATGCGTGCTGGCGAACTTCACATGTCTTCGAAATATTTTTTTCTTATTCCTCCAGCGAGTGTTAACCATCTGAACTACCACGGCTTAGTTTTTTTTTCAAACCAGTGGTAAATTATACAAAAGTGACTTAATAAATATTATTTATAATCTATATTGAATAAAAAATTCTCTGTTTATTTCATGCAGCCGACATAAAAACTGACCTGCAAAAGACGCTTTTTCTTTTTAAGGGGTTGGATCCATTACCGGCAAATCCGGCAGGCGGAAATAGAGGCCTACCAGTAATAATGAAGTTGATTGGAATTTCAATAGCGTCAAGAATCATCAATGTCTTACACCGAATCCTTTTTTAGTCAAAATTACAAAAATGAATAAATAGCGACAGACATCTAGACACAGACTGCACAATTCCTGGAGCATTGGTATTTTACGTCAGCTATATGTTCTTTTACGAGGGATTTCATAGATCGTTTTGTTTTTACATAATGTCTTTTTGTTTTTATTTGACCTTGATGATTTTTTTGATTTTTATAGAATAAGGGTGACAAACGAGCACACAGTCCACCTGATGGTAAGTGGATGCTGTGGCCCATAGCCATCTACATTTATCCTCGATTAAGAATCAAAACGCAGATGCGTTGTCACCCGTGAGGACTAAGATGGAATGCCTCGTTTCCAGTAAAAAAGGGTCTCCGGATCTCTACACTCACCATACGAAACACAGCAGTATTAAGCTGCTATTTTATGCTGTTCAGTTCAAAGTCACGCAGCGAGTTATGAGGGGGCTATGCTAGGGGTTTCTCTGCGTGATAAACTTAGAAATGAAGATATCCGCAGCATAAGTAAAGTAAGCGATGTATCGCAATACAATGAAACATAAGTTAAAGAGGCAATGGGTCGGCCATATAGCTCGAAGAACCAACAAGCGGGGGAAGAAAGGTTCTCGAGTGGCAGCCTCGTAACGGTAAGTGAAGTGCAAGGCGGCTCCACACTAGATGAAGTGACGATGTGGTAACAGATGCAGGAAGTCGATGAATGCAGGTGGCTCAGGACCGCGCTTTGTGGCATTCCTTGGGGAAGCCAATGTTCAGCAGTGGACCTGTAATGGTTAGTAATGATAATGATGATGATTAATATCTAAAGACAAACGGTACTCCGGGTTAACTATAACATCGACCTGCATCTCCGGATGCTGCAACATAACTTTTTGAAATAACATGATATTACTCACTTCTTTAAGTTGCATCCCCAAACTCATCAGGACTTTACCCGAAGCGCATCCTGTAAGTATATACTCCGGCATTTTTTGCTTGGTCAGGAAATCCGATTCTGCCATCGGCACGCCCTCTTGCGACTGCCGCAGGAAATAGATGTAGCGGCGGTTGCGATTTACCACTTGAGGAGTGAAGGCACCGAAGAGTGGCAAGAGTTTCGGATATTTAATTATACGTGGAACGGATCTCTGTAATATGGATTTACATTACTTTACAATAATATATATATATATATATTAGAAATATATAATAGAAAAATAATGGAAATGACAGAAAAATACGTCAGACGTCAAATCAAATACCCAGACCGGCAACGCGCAACAATCGCAGCGATCGTCAATTCGCCTGCTAAGCATGATGATTGAGACAAGAGTGGCCCATGTCCATCAGCGTGTAGAAGGCGACGCGATGATAAAGTAGAAAATAACTTAATAATTTCTTATAAATTACACGCCCTATACTAAGCATTTACGAATTTAATCGCGTTTAATTTAACATATTTTACTTATCTCCGAAACGTCGAAAATTAAAAATAAGTAAAATACAGCCGGCACTAATGAAATTGTTAATCGCAATTTAAGTGCTGATTTACCACATGCGCGGCGGTGAAGGAAATTATCGTGAGGAAACCTGCATGTCTGAAAAATAAGAAAATAATATATTTCGAAGACGCGAAGTTTGTCACCTGTCATTGGAGCAGTGCGACGGACATTTCCTTGCCCTAAAACTCTCTCAGAAACGAGAGGGGGCCTGTGCCAAGCAGTGGGACCATAGAATACTATAATACGCAATAGAATGGCTGTCAACTTTATTTTGTACGAGGATTGGCGTCGCCAAACCCGATTCGCTGTGTTGACAGACTGAGTAAATTTACACATTTTAGACTTTTAATTAATGTTCAAGATCATATTTTAAAAAATCGTTTAAATTTTAATACATATTTATTTGTAAATAGGATGTAATTTGGCATTTTCTAAATAATTTGCATGCGAAATTCGGAAACGGTTGTAACGTCAAAACACTTCTCGTGTTGACATTTATACGTGTGAATTGACATGTTAGTGACATTTTAGTGGTTACTCGGGCTCCGCCCACTCCCCCGTTCTATCTATGTGTGTATTATAGTATTCTATGAGTGGGACGTATATAGGATGTAATTTTTAAAATACGAGTATGTTAAATCAACGACAATACAACCCGTAAAATTAGTTTTATTAAAAAAAAAGATATCTTTTGAATTGTATCCTCATGGCAGAGCGACACCAGCTGCATTATCCAGTAACTGCAGCACAAAAGGGTCGGCCTAGGAATAACCACGCTCTTAAGAAATTGCATGCAAATTACTGTTGCGTTTCAATAACATGTGATGAAAACAGGATACCTTTTTTATTGGTAACAAGGCTTTCCATGTAAGTCTCTACTGATCTCAAATGAGGTAGAATGTAGGTGTTTTGACATCAGGCGGGATGTAATACAACCGCTGTGTCTTCATTCGTCACTCTTACCAGAATGCAAAAATATTTTAGGTTTTACTTCAAAGCAAAATAAAACTTTGTTTAGAAAATACATATATATTTTTAATTTTGAGTCTCACTGCTCAATTTCACAGGATAACTAGAATCATTAAAATTTTCGTGTAATTGTGTTTGTTAGCTTAAGAGACTGTAACGATAATCAGCTCACCACGACAGTGTAGAACTCAACCGTTCCATCAATTTCTGGATCTAAGTCTTCGGGTGCTGAAATATAATGATACAATTATTAATTATATTAAAAGGTATTATAAAATAATATTGTAAAGTACAGTTACATACTGAAAATTAGAAAAAACTTAGTAGCAGCGATTTCTTACGTGGTGGAAAGGCGTACGTTTCTTCAGCGCCCATAGCAAACTCTTCATCTTTGCCCCGAAGGTCTATTGATGTCTTTGTTTCGTCTTCGGTGTCTACGTAGTCGGTTAATTCAGCCGCTGTTTCTATTTCTGTGAGATCTGAAATTTTTTTCAAATTTTTTATTAATTGCTACAAGGTCTATTTCATGTATTACCTTGAAGTCAGTAGTGGGCTTGTAGGCCACCTTTTAATATGTAGTCACTGTCGAAAATATACTAAAAATGCGTTCGCTTCTAAGCACAAAATACATTTTGCTGTAAATATAATGATTTTCTATACCATACAAAGCGAAATACAACATTCACAACAGCAGTAATATATGAATTGGTGATAATATTTTTTATATAAGAGAGACATATATGAATTATATGAATTATCAACTAACAGCCACCTGATGGTGAATGTCTACTGCAGTCATTATATGTACAATATTCACGCGTCTGCAATAAAAATGAAAAATGAAAAAAGGAAAAAATGATTTATTGATTTACAATTATACATTTTAAACCAGTCGCAAGGGCCCCTGTACTAGGTTGGGAACCTGTATTACTGGGTACCCCGCTCATCCAATAAATTAAATGAATTTTGGAATACAATAGTAATTACATGATAAGCATGTATGCAAAGCATGCACGCGTTTGTGTGTGTGTGTGTGTGTGTGTGTGTGTGTGTGTGTGTGTGTGTGTGTGTGCGTGCGTCCGTGCGTGCGTGCGTGCGTGCGTGCGTGCGTGCGTGCGTGCGTGGCTGTGTGGTAGTGCTTTAACAATTGGTGTGGCTGTTCGAAGTATAAAAGTTATGTAATAAATTGTTCAATTTCCTCGTAGTTTAGTGTTAATAAAAATTGTGTCACTACACGTTTAACTTTAGTCCACGTCAAGGGGTATATATTCAACCTGCTGTTGAATTGTTATATGGTTATCGCAAACACCTGAATAGCACATTCGCTTGTACGCACGCACGTACGCCAACACGCATATACGCACGCACGTACGTACGCACACACCAACATGGTGAATAAACAAATCCTTCCTACAGTGGGGAGGTCCATATCCAGCAGTGGACTTATACAGGCTGACTAAATAATTATGAATAAAAGAGATACCAAACATTAATCTGTCAATCATATAAATATTATAAAACGAATTTAATAAACCTGGAGTCATATACAAATGTAATTTTCATAGAGAATTATAGGTTATCCAATTACTATGTGAAATGATTGTGGGTGAATGTATTTAAAAAAAATTTAATTTGAATGTTGGAATAATAAAATAATAATAACCTTCGCCATCCCCATCGTCCATATCTGAAATTGGAAAGAAATTATTAAATATAACAGTAATAACGAGGAGATCACTGAAAGCACGCTAGTGATATGTACAAATAATAAAATAATTAGACTACATTACTTCACTGTAGTTTTTCAAATATAAGAATTTATCGCCAATTAAATTCAAGACTACGAATATACGAGCATGTACATTATACGTACACTTACAATGAGAAGCGGTAAGAGGTATTTCGTATGGAGAGAGAGATATAAGAGAAGCGGTATTTCGTATGGTGAGTGTAGAGAAACGGAAACCCTTTTTACTGGAAACGAGGCATTCAATCTTAGGCCTCACGGGTAACAACGCATCTGCATTTTGATACGTAATCGAGGATAGATGTAGAAGTCTATGGGCAGCAACCACTTACCATCACGTGGGCTGTGTGCCCGTTGTCATCCTATCCTTTAAAAAAAACTGTGTAGTTACCGCCTTTATTATTATTGTATGCTAGTCTCCATTGAGACCGGCTGCCGTCACCGAAATTCAGTCTGGAGGACATTATTATTATTACTGTATCGTATTGTACCATACTTGTATTATACATTGAAAATTTTCGTTACATTCAAATACAAAGTTAACCTAAGTATAGATTCAAAGCAGTGTTCGAAAAAGGATTTAAAGCTAATTACTTACCTTTAGAACTTTTATAACTCTTCGTACTTTTAGCACTCTTAACGCTTTTAGCACTCTTTCCGCTTCTAGCGGCCTTCGCTCGTTTATTCTCTAGCGCGTCTCCTTCAAATGTTTCATCTTGCATTGGTTCTACTTCTGCTTGTTTCCCCCTTTTGCCTTTTCTCTTTTTCGGCGGCAGCGCTGGCGGAGGTGGCGGGGGTGGCACTATTCCTAAAACATTTATTTATAAAATGTTATTTATTTCTTCATAAAACAAATGTAATAGTTATACTATCGTAATAATATTATTTTAGTTGTTATTTGGTAGTAAGTTAAAAAAGTAAGTAGTTGTAGTATTGTTAAAAAAAATTAAACAAAAGTGAAAACGATACTTTTTCCGGTTATGACCTCTAGAGATCTCCATTAGGCTAGGTTGGTTATTGGGTCTGGTTTGAGTAGTAAAAAAGTTATCGTAACACTGGGATTTTCTTATCTATCGTAAAGGTACATATTTTACATACATTTCATACATAAAGTCAGCTCTAATCCCTGAGGGGGTAAAGTGAGTCCAAAGAGCAGAAAGCCGCTAGGTCAGCGTTTAGTCAAAAAACAATGAACATGGATATGAAATCGTGGAAGAAATTGTAGGTGGCTAGGTCATCGCCTACACTACCACAAACCCAATATCCTACTAATCACTTTATTGTTTTAAGGCCCACACCAACATGGCAGTAAGAGTTTTGCATGTACATAAGTTGCACATGCACACATACCCAGACCCGGATTATTTTTTTATAGGTACACACAAAAAAACGTAACGCGCGGAATTCGATTCGGCAGTACACATTGCTATTCGTTTACCAACTGTGTCACCGAGCTCTCAGCGGCTATTATTATAATAATGATCTAAGCTGAATTAACATATCACTAACTTTCAAGTCCATCTATTCACAGCTTATCGAAAGTCTACAACTGACCATAGGCTCCCCACATAGAGGTGTTAAGTTGTTTTATTTCCCTGCAAATGTATGCGGCGGGATGTTACGCAGCATCATTTCCGGGACACCTGGGATTTTGAATGAGATTGAGAGGTTCTATGGGCAGCTGTACAAATCATCGTTGGAATCACACGCAAGTGTGAGTAACGAACCAAGAGCAATTCTTATCCGACACTATTTATTTATTTAACTTCATATACAAGGCTGCACTAAAAGTATCGGGAATGGAATATTTCCACTGTTCTTGTCATATTAAAATCTTTTAAATTGAAAACTCCTTGGTTTTAAAAATCGAATACCATTTATTTATTTAAAAAAAGATTCTAGGTTTTGTCAAACTTGTTTAGTCGTTGAGAAAATGGAATTGACTCGAGAAAATTCAAGAGCGATGATTTATTATGACTTTCGAAGTGGTTTAACACAAAAACAGTGTGTTGACCGGATGATTTCTGCATTTCGTGATGAAGCCCTATCCAAAACGACAATTTATCGCTGGTTTGCTGAATTTCAACGTGGACGTGTCAAGCTCAGTGATGATCCCCGTCAAGGTCGTCCAAAAACTGCAGTCACCCAAGAAAACGTTGATGCTGTGCATAAGCTGATTGAGGAAGATCGACATGTGACATACCGCGAAATTCAGGCAACTTTAGACATTGGCATGAGTCAAATACAAATAATCTTGCATGAACAATTAGGTGTAAAAAAGTTGTTTTCCCGATGGATACCGCATTCGCTATGAAGAGCAAAAAGCGGCTCGCGTTACTTGGTGCGTCAGAACTCTCGAAAGATTCCACGCAGGATCCTCAAATGCTGTATTCAACATCGTATCAGGTAACGAATCCTGGATATACGCGTACGAACCCGAAACAAAAAACCAGTCACGAGTTTGGGTGTTCGAAAATGAGTTAAAGCCAACAAAAATTGTTCGTTCACGGAGTGTTGCAAAAAAAATGGTGGCCACGTTTGTCTCCATAACCGGCCATGTTACGACTATTCCTCTTGAGGGACAAAGAACGGTTAATGCAGAATGGTATGCTAGCATTTGTTTGCCACAGGTCGTTTCTAAACTTCGTAAAGAGAACTGCAACCGCCGCATCATCCTCTATCACGACAATGCGTGTTCTCACACCGCACACAGAACAAAAGAGTTTTTAGAGCAAGAAAACATAGAATTATTAGACCATCCGCCGTACAGCCCCGACCTAAGGATTCTATACTTTCCCTAAAATAAAGAATAAATTGCGTGGACAGAGATTTTCATCACCTGAAGAAGCTGTGGACGCCTACAAAACGGCCATTTTGGAGACCCCAACTTCCGAATGGAATGGTTGCTTCAATGATTGGTTCCATCGTATGAAAAAATGTGTCAAATTTCGCGGAGAATACTTCGAAAAGCAATAAATACATTTTTAAACAGTAATGTTGTGTCACTTCCTTGATTCCCAAAATTTTCAGTGCCGCCCTCCTACACATTAAATGTATATAGGCGGACTTAATGCCCGAGGCATTATCTACCCGTCTACCTTAGAGTAGTGCAGAGAGAGAGAGTAAAAGAGGTACAGAAATTTATATTCACATATATATAAACTCAGATTTTAGTTATTAACATTATTTATTAGTACCCGGATGACCGAGCTTTGCTCGGTTTTTTTTAAGTTACATTTAGATACAAATTACATGAATAATATTTTTTGATCTTATTGACATAATAGAAAAAACTGAACTGGTTATTTGAATGAAAATCATGAGTGCAATTAGTTTAATTAAAATTTTTCTTATTTTTAAAAATTACTAAAAAAAAGGGCTCGAAATAATAGATTTTCTCACAAAAGAAGGGAATTTGAAAAAAAAGGAATAAATGACGGACCCAAGACGGGACGCGAACCACGGAACTCCGATATCACGCCCGACCGACATCCCACCCGAGTTATTACGATCGTTAGTAGTCTGTCAAAATTTACCTTCTTATATTGTAGCAGTTTTTTTATTGCCTGAAAATACGGACAAAAGGACATTTTCTAAAAATAAATCCTAGCTAGATCGATTTATTACCCCTGAAACTCCCCTGGATACTAAATTTTATGAAAATCGTTGGAGCCGTTTCCGAGATTCCGATTATATATATATATATATATATATATATATATATATATATATATATATATATATATATATATATATATATATATATATACAAGAATTGCTCGTTTAAAGGTATAGGATATATATAATATATGTATAATTTTAGATATAATATGAACACGGTTAACTATGAACGCTAAGTTGATTCTGCCTTTTTATTGACGAGAAGTTCTCGCACCTTTGACTCGAAAAAATTTCGGTTTTCGGCACTACTCCGATGATATCCTGACTTTAGTCTGAGCGAGATTATTATGGCTCTCCACCTTAAAAACACACAACAACACCTTAAAAACGGCACGGCCCCAGGTATGGATGTAATTACAGCGGAGCTTCTGAAAGCAGGTGGAAAACCGGTACTTGAAGTACTACAGAAGTTCTTTAATTCTGTCCTACATGGTGGAAGTACTCCGGAGGCGTAGAGCAGAAGTGCGGTAGTCTTGTTATTAAAGAAAGGCGACAACGCTCTTTTGAAGAACTACACACCGATTTACCTTCTGATCCGCGTCTACGTGCTGTTATCGAGTCATTACGAATCGTATTGGACGCACACTCAACGATTTCCAGCTTCCCGAACAAGCCGGTTTCCGAAAAGGCTTTAGTACCATAGACCACATACATACCCTTCGGAAAACTGTACAGAAGACCGAAGAGTCCAGCATGTCACTTAGCCTTGCATATGTGGGCTATGAGAAAGCCTTTGATTCGGTCGAAATTTGGGCGGCGCTATAGTCTCTTCAGCGGTGTCAAGTTGACTGTCGGTATATCGAAGTGCAGAAGTGTTTGCACAGTAGGGCTACGATGGCTATCCGAGTACAGAACCAGAGTACAAAACCTATCTAACTGCATAGAGGTGTAGACAGGTTGACGTTATAGCCCCGAAACACTTCACTGCTGCATTGGAAGAAGTCTTCAAGCTACTGGACTTTAAAGCATTCGGTATTAACATTAATGGCGAATACATCACTCACCTTCGATTTACCAATGATATAGTCCTTATAGCAGATTTGCTGAAGGACCTAAGCACTATGCTCAATAACCTCAATATTATAGTGTCTCCCAACGGATAGGTCTTCATTTGAACATAGACGAAATAAAAATCATGTGTAATGTCCATGTCACACCTATGCCGGTAATTGTTAGGAGCACTAAGCTAGAAGAAGTTGTTGACGAGTACGTTTACCTGGGACAAATAGTAGGTAAGTCTAACTTCGACCGAAAGGTTAATCGACGGGTTCAACTCGGCTGGGCAGCTTTCGGGAAATTACGACACATCTTCTCTTCAGGTATACCTCAAAACCCAAATACTAGATTGTACGAGTAAGACCAGTGCGTGTTGCCAGTGATGACTTACGGATCTAAGACGGGGTCCTTCACAGCTCGCCGTATGAAGACGCTCAGGGTCGCTTAGCGAGCTATGGAGAGGGCTATGCTAGGAGTTTCTCTGCGTGATAAACTCAGAAATGAGGATATCCGCAGGAGAACCAGAGCGACTGAAGTGGCGATGGGTCTTCCAGAACCGACAACCGATGGGGAAAATAGGTTCTCGAGTGGCATCCTCGTACCGTAAGGTGAAGTGTAGGGCTAACCCCCACTAGATGGAGTGACAACCTGGTAATAATTGCAGGAAATCGATGGTTGCAGATGGCTCAGGACCGTGCTTTGTGGCATAACTTGGGGGAGGCCTGTGTTCAGCAGTGGATTTGTGTATGGCTGTAATGATGATGATGATGAGGAATGTCCCTCCGTCGTCTCTTACGACATCCAGGGACTGATAACGGGTGATGGATTCCCTTACACCACCACTTAACGGCATAACTTTTTAATTAAAATTTTGGAGCTCAATAGCAATGATCGAATTACAACACTGAGGGCAAATCCCTTATGGAACAAATATTTGTAGAGCCTGCAAATCATTGTACTGTATGCATGTAAACTGCCTCTACAATACAAGAGTAATTACTAATCTGTTGATAACATTTCTTTTTAACAAAAAGGTAAACTAAACCTGAAAAATCTAAATTAACACTTTTTATATATGGCTTGTAATACGAGTAGTAAAATGTACTCACTCCATTCAGTAAATTCCTTGTCTTCGTGTATCAGTTTGTCGACAATAATCTTGCTGATGTAAAATATTTTCTTATCTAAGGACAAGTCATTAGGCATTAACGACGCTGTAATGAACTTTGTTAACTTCTTCTTAGTGCCACTCTCTTCTAGTATACTGTAGAACAACTCATCATCCTCCATTCCAATATATGTGAGAATTCGCTCTTTGAACCATTGTACTCTTGGATCTCTATGGAAATCTAATTCAATGTCATCACTTATGATACTCAATTCATTTGATAAATTTTCAGACATCTGAAACATGCCGAGCAAATTTATATTAAAAAACGGTTGCAGTAATACATATATTAGTTTGGTATAAAATTATTTTAATAATATTGAATTAACAAACAAGCTATCTGCCGCTGATGATAAGAAAATGGACAACTATAAATAAGATCAATCAAAGAAGGCACCACAGATGCTTTGTCACCCTCGAAGGTTAAGGTGGAGTGTTCACACCATGAAATCTAAGCAGACTCCTTTTCTGCCAAGAAGTCTGTATGTTTAGACACTACCCCCTAACTATTTGTGTCAATTAATAGCAGTGTTCGCACGATCTGAAGGGTAAACAGAGCTAATATAATAACAGGTTGCGAGGCATTCCATCGTAACCTTTGAAGTAGGCTGCAGGGCTCCACGGGCTGCAGTAACCACTACATTACAATCAGGTGGATTTTGGTCACTTCAATTTATATATTAATAAGATTTATATATTTCTATCGGTAGCATAAGATTTCATTACTCAATTTCGTTGCATGGGTGTCGTAAGAGACGAATATGAGAAATACCGTTTGATATTTTTTTCAATCCCGCTGAGTTTCTTGCTGGTACTTTCCAGGGCGGAGGTTTTTTACGAACCAGTGGTAAATTATAAATAAAAAAGAGTGACTTTCAATGAGTATTATTTATAACCTATATAGAATAAAACAGGTTCAAGTTTCAAGATGCAGTGTCAGAGATGCGAGACATCTGGTGTTGCGAATAACTGAAACTCCTCCTTAGAACGGCCGAGGCCAATGTGAACTTTCACAGGCTAGTATAGAAGAGGTTTTACCTTGCAAACTACGGTTCTGTGAGCTGGAGCCTTTTCAATTCTATTGGAGATGGTTTAATCCATTCTACTTTATTTTATACAAAACCTAAAAATATAATTATATTAACTTTTTATTTATAATTTAACTGTTTTTTACATGCTATAATATCTCCTCTGGCGTAACCAGGGACATGGACACACTCACGATATAACTAAAGACAGACAATTTGTATTTTTACAAAAATGTTGACTCTGCTTGGCATTTAAGCCCAGAATTCATAAAATTAACCAAGCAATCGGTCCTGTAGTCTTTATATTCTTGTAATAAAACATTTTGAAGTTACTTAAGTGATTATACAAGGAACTTGCAAAACGACTCTGGAATTTAAGAAGAGTGCCAGGTAAGTGCTGTTTTAAGAATCAGCATATGTTTACTTTTTTAAACAAAGTGATGTTGGACAATATCAATGATGATAAGACTTTTAGCTAATGCTATTATTTGCAATTTGAATGTGATGGAATTTATACACATGTATATATCTATATACATGTAAAAGTATGTATAAATATATATTTAACATGCTTCTCGTCAGGTATACCTCAATCTCTGAAAACTAAAGTGTGCAACCAGTGCGTGTTGCCAGTGATGACTTACGGATCTGAGTGACTACATCACTCACCTTCGATTTGCCGACGATATAGTCCTTATGGCAGAATCGCTAGAGGACTTAGCACTATGCTCAATGACCTCAATTGTGCCTCCCAACGGATAGGTCTTAAGATGGACATGGACAAAACAAAGATCATGTTTAATGTCCATGTCACACCTATGCCGGTAGTTGTTTGGAGCACTAAGCTCGAAGTTGTTGACGAGTATGTTTACCTGGGACAAATATGTAGTCCGGCTAGGTAAGTCCAACTTCGACCGAGAGGTCAATCGACGGATTCAACTCGGCTGGGCAGCGTTCGGGAAATTACGACACATCTTCTGGTCAGGTATACCTCAAAACCTGAAAACTAAGTTGTACAACCAGTGCGTGGTGCCAGTGATGACATATGGAACTGAGACGGGGTCCTTCACTGCTGGTCGTATGAGGACGCTCAAGGTCGCTCAGCGAGTTATGGAGAGGGCTATGCTCGGAGTTTCTCTGCGTGATAGACTCAGAAATGAGGATATCCAACCAGAGTGACCGACATAGCCCAACGGATTAGAAAGCTGAAGTGGCAATGGGCCGGCCATATAGCTCGAAGAACCGATAACCGATGGGGAAGAAAGGTTCTCGAGTGGCAGCCCCGTACCGGTAGGCGTAGTGTAGGGCGACCCCCCACTAGATATAGTGACGACCTGGTAAGACATGCAGGAAGTCGATGGATGTGGGTGGCTCAGGACCGTGCTTTGTGGCATTATTTGGGGGAGGCCTATGTTCAGCAGTGGACTTGTGAAGGGCTGTAATGATGATGATGATGATGCTTTTGTTTATATATAGTATAGTTATGTAATATTTAGTATATATCTTTAGTATATAATATCGCCTTCCACAATAACTCACACCCTACACATACCATCATGGCTTGACTGGCAGAGAATGTCATTAGATATTAAGTCCTTCTTTGTTACAACTTATTTATAAAGGTGATAACAATAAAGTTTAAATAAACTTAATTCTTTTATCATGATGTTATGAGCGGTATTAACTATTAGCATAATAGTAAAATAACAGATCTTTTCCCAAATAGAAGTTAATTTTTCATACATTATTGTTTCATCATTAAAAGTATATAATATTAGGCATATTTTTAAAATTCAGAGGTATTTACTTTTTGAAACCTATGATCACAGAGAATTCACAAGAAAAGATCAAAAGAAGCAGTGTTAAGCTTGCATTGACATATATTACTAGCGTAAGGACTGGGCCGACCGAACAACAAAAACGGACCAATGCGTTGGCCCTAAACTGTAATTTTAGGGACGAATCGGTCGACAGTGGTGCGCACGCAGAACCGATTTGCCTGTCACAAATATGTCTAGTTGCGTGGTAAAAGAATGCAAAAATTACGATACAAAGATAAAAAAAAACATGGGATATCGTATCATCGGTAAATAACCTTATATTAATTTTGTTACAATTAAATTATTATATAAACGCATTTTTAAAGTATTATTTTACAGTTACTTTAGTTAGTTAGTTAGTTAGTTTGGATTCAGGGACCAGGGTTGGATTCAGACCTTCAAAAATATTGTACATAGAAAATAAAATTATACTATTTAAAAAAAATTATATCACTTTTTTCCAATATGCTAGGATTTTGGCGTCACGCTTCTAGTTTATCGTCTAGTTTATAGGTTTCGTTTTTTGACGGTTTTATTTTTATTTCTGTTTAAATTATGTCTAAAGAACTTAGTGTAAGTTAAATTTTGAATATTAGTATAATATAATAATAATAATTTTATATTCAGATAACCAAGTGATCCATAAAATTTGTTAGTAAATATGGAACTTATAACCTATGTTAGTACCTAAATCTAATTCTTAAATATAAGCGCCTTATTAACTAAACATAGGCGGTAATATTGCCTAAGGAGGAATGAGTCGTATCTTTCAGCAATTATTCTCATGATGGAGTTGGAGCTATCCCGCACCCTGCCAAGCAACGAGGCTGTTCTCTTATAAGGGCGTAATAGTCATCTGTACGCGCCTTTGCAAACATGCCTGATGCACTGCAAAATCGGGGTAGCCCCAACAAGATCCTGAAGCCATTATTATACTGGACACGTAAGGTGTCGACAGTCCGCTGTGAATAATTCGACCACAGGCTGCACGTGTAGAAAACTTGACAGTACGCTTTAAATAGTGTTATCTTTACTTGTTCACTACACCGCGCAAACCTACGTGCCAACATATTACATCGGACTGCCAGCGCCCTACGTTCTCTTTCAATATCAACATTGTCACTTAGGTCATCGGTAACAAAATGCCCTAGGTACTTAAATTTATCAACGCGTTTTAATTCAATGTCATTCAATTTAATTGCAGGCACATTTTCTGGGCTTTTACAGCCAACGGCCCTAAACACCATGAATTCGCTTTTATTACCATTGTATCGCAAACCATGGTTTAACGCATACTTCTCACATATCTTAAGGAGTTCTCTGGTGGCCTTAACCGTGGGACTCAGCAACACCATATCATCCGCGTAACTTATGTTGTTAAAACGTACATCGTCGATACGACATCCGACTTTTTTTGCTGCTGAGTTCAACGATTAGGTCATAATATTGGTATCTAATATATTTTATATTCAATAAGGGTAAAACGAAAAGAGTTCAAAAGAAAAGGATCGATCGAACATCGATTGACCAGAAAGGGAGCTACTATATAATAAATAAATTAATTACTAAAATAAAAAACTCCGCCATTGCCGGTCCTAAGCCCGGATGAGAAAGGAGGAGGGGACGGTTCCGCCGGAGAGTGTGGGTGTATCCGGTGGACTAACACACCCACCTGCGCTAGGACCTGCGCAGTCGAGCGCCGTACGCGGGGATGAAGTAGTTCTGGAGGGTTGAGCCGATCGTCGATGGGGTATATAGTGGCGAGAGGCAACACGCCCTCTTTGGTCCAGATTTCAAGATAAACGGTGGCCCTATCTGCTAGCCACAGATAGGGCCAAGCGCCCCGTCAGAGAGTCGCAGGCGAGGGATGTGGGGGCTGCCTAGTTTTCCTGAAAAGGGGGCTGGGTGGTGGTAAAGGCCATGCTGACGGAGCAAGTGACAGTTTATTCGGGTGGTGGGGATGGGCCTTGTCAGCTCCATCTACCAGCTGGATCGAGCTCCCGATGTCGCGCTGTGAGCCAACTTCGCGTCCCTATATTCTCCCGGTAATCCTAACGCCTGAAATTCTTTTTTTTTAAAGTAGGGCGTTCCAAAGGTGCAGGCTCCATGGAGGGTGGGAAGCCGGGGGGATGAATTTTAAAGAACAAAAAATTATGGACAATTTAAGGCCCAATAAGAAAGAGGGAGAGGTGTCAGAGGTGCTTACCAGAGACACCAAAGAACAAGGGGGAACCGTCACTAAACCGACGGTTCCACGGACAGTACCGTCCAGCGTAGGCGCCCCCACCAAAACGACAACTACCTCGCTGAACGTTTCCAAAACCAGTTCCAAGGAGCTAGACGAGAAAAAAGAACAAGAGCCCGCGAATAACAAAACTGCGGAGCCAC